TAGCAGTACAGTTCCTTCATAATAATAAGTTCGTCCAGGTAAGTACTGCCACCTCACCTATTTCTGCAGTCAAACAGTAATATGAGCATAACTGCGTTCTGGTTTTGAAAAGTAAGGGATGATGTTGAAATTACAGGCACATAGGACTTGTCACCTTATGTCTGAGGATGACATGCGCAGTGGCGGTGTCCCTCAAATCTTGTATTTTAAAAGTGCACTTTAATATTTACGTTTATTGCTCTCCACTGAAACATCTAGTTAAACCACCGACTTCAACTTTCAAATTTTTGAATGATGACAGTACTTTCCACCATTATTGTATTTTCTCCAGTCAACACAAACAAGGGCACTGATTAAACTATTTTTTTTATTAATATAGACACAGTGTAATGTAGGCTAACGTCATTTAAAACAGCATTATAGGTAACACTATAATAATAATATAGTACACCCTTTTTGACACAAGACACGTCCGCCGCATATGGCCGGAACGCGCTTCCTATATTTACAACAATTGTACGTGTAATATTATCCGACATTGTCTCCAAACGCTCAGCACTACGCCCGTTTTCCTTTGAGGGTAAGGAGATATGTCACATGAAGCTGTTATGTCACTTTTCTGTACAGGTATGCGAAAAGAAAAATCGAACTTTATTTCAGTACTGCTTCATAGCGCGACGCTTATGAAAAGTTGTTATAATAATCATTATGGCAATCGTCTCTTGTACAGTGACACTTATATAAAACAATCTTTTATGTAGTTTCATTTTGTTCTAAACCCACGTCTGAGTAGGCCTGCGAAAAATGAATTTTTAAGAAGTAGAAATGTAATAACAGCATTATTTAGAGTACGCATAGACGGTAAAAATATCAACCAATGTGAGATTGATGGAAATAAAAATGAAAAATAGAGGTAATTATCACAGTTAAATTTGGCGGATGTCATATTTACTTTCGTATTAAAATTAAAGATCATCAGGTGGGCACCAAACTATAAAAACTATACCCACTGAGGGGTACAGAAATGACAAATACCTAGATTTATAAAAGAAATGTATTTTTTACAATGGTATGTGCCGCTATAATGTGGGTATGTTCTTATGTTGGATTAAATTATTGAATAAAAAATTTTTTATAAAATTATTAAAAATTATTAAAAATATATGTTATTTATGTGTTTTTATTATATTTGTGTGTTTTGTTTTCATTGTTGATCATTCAAAAAACGATTTCGGTCTTATTCCTACTACAACTGACCGCGTGGGAATCACGATCGAGTATGATGGGGGATATTTATTTTGATAGAAAGTCTGACAATAACCTAATTAGGTATAGCAAACAAATAAAAATGTGTTAAATATCAAATCTTTATTGCCCTGTTACATGTTAACGCCTAAATTTTGTAGCTGCGCGATATTAATGTAATTCTTTTCTATTATATACTATGATGGATCACTGGATTGGCAACAGATTTGTCTGCGTTTTTCTTTTCCAGTTACCCGATTTAAAATGTACAGGGCGCTTCAATTCACTGATCTTCTTTGCATGCATAAAATACTCTGCAAATCCAACGCAAAGCCTGCCCGCCTGAATATTTTGAAGCGGAATTTAAAAATGCGTATTTTTATTCAGAAATCTCAAATCACAACGTTCTTCAAACAATTGTATTTAAGAAACTACTTGCCTACATTGGGAACCTACCCTATGTAATGTCTCATATGGAACAATTTCACAAAAACCTTCTCTTAGTCTGATCACACGCCTTTCACGTAAATTCGAACAATATAAAAACATCGATTATTGTACATAAAACAACCCTTTGTAGCGCAATGAAAAGTTGCATTGTAGCAGTAAAACTCGTGAACCTTGTAAACCAGTGGAAATAGTTTACGGCACGCAAGAAGGATGCGAGCTTCACCGAGCGCCTCCATTTCCCTTGATTGCACATTATATTTCATCGCCTTTCTGTTCCACACCCGCATTCAAATTTTAAGGAAATCGTGGGCGCCGTACCACAGTGCACGATTTTATCATAAAAGTGATTTAACAGATGGATATCCACAAACTTTTCGAAATTTTGTTACACTCACCACAAACCAAGTGTAAAAATTGATTTTCATTAGGGAAATATAAAATTGTAGGTACAATACACGTCCTTGTGATATTCAACAAAAAATTTGGCAATCAAAGTTTCGTAACATTTTAAGTTTCGACTGAAACACTGTAACACAATCATAAACTTACATTCAGGTACTCACGTCTTTTAGGTTAAGTGTAAACTTTAGATGGACAGAGAGACGCACCCAGAACAGAATACATAAAATGATGCCAACACAGCTTTTGCATTAACATGCAAAAATTCTTAACATAATAGTAAGTACGCTTTCTAACCATAGCGGTAACTTTATTCAAAAGTACCAAAATCCAGAATGGAAAATATCTACATATATGTATGTCTATAGCACGTTGCGAGTTTTCCTCGATGGTAAGAAAAAACCAACCAATTTCTGAAAAAAGCGACAAAGGTCATAAAAAGGACATCGTTTCGCCTCTTGGATGAGAGTAGAACTTTACGCATAGGAGGTAACGTTCGATACCTCTACATATTTTTTCAGCGAAAGCGCTAGTTTAGCGTTTCCTATCTTATACCGCTACTGTAAAATATACTTTATTTAAATGACACGTCTGTATTGCTTTAGTTTGCTATCATACTATAAACTAGAATGCAGTATCAACTATTATACCTATGGTGAAAGATAAAAAATATTATTGCTTGTAGGAATAGTAAGTGGATGTTTAACTTTAGTATAATAATACTGCCACGTGATAATCTTTTATATTAATCAACTTTGTATTCTATGTACTTCCCAACTTTTTTATTAAAAACCGAAAAGCAACTACAAATACAATTGATGTGAACAATTTTTCACAGATTTACCATAATTTACTAACATTTGCGACAATAGTAAATATTATTAAATTTAATAAAATGATTTTTCATACAAAATGCATAAAATTGTCAATTTTTTAAATGCTGATAGAATCTGTTTCTTACAAGAATGACTTTATGGTACTAGAAGAAAAGAATCGGGACAGCAGAAGTTGGTCAAATTTAATAAAATGTTATGCCTGTGGCAAGAAACATTCAAAATGGCTGCCGAAAAAATCTTGCTTCGCTCGGACTGAAAATTGCCATGCATGTCTTTAGAAGTCCATAATCATTATTTGGGGTCAAAAATCTTTTACGCAATTTTTAATATTGCTGCCATAAGCATTTTTTTCGTTAAAAACCTAGCTAGCTGCCGAAAGAGACTTGTTCTGATTCGACCGAGAATTGACATGTGAAGGTCTCTAGGAATCCCAGATAAAAGTTTGTAGTCAAAATTGAAATTTGGCACTTTAAACATATGGTCGCCATTATGTGGTCTGTGGTCACCATACAAGAGTTCGTTGGCGGCAGAAAAAAATTTGCTCTGATCCCTTTGAAAATTGACATGTGGAAGTATCTAGTAGTGCCTGATAATAGTTTGAAATCAACATTAGTTTTTCGCCATTTTTCAATATTCTCAATGTAGTGGAAAGGAGATACTTATAGCGTTGTTTTTGGAGCTATGCCAAAGAGAAATATTTTAGGGGGAAGAAATGCCAATCACACCAAATTTCTGGTCCAAATTAGGGAATTTCCTGTACTATGAATACCAAAATAACGAAACCACTGAAGAGCGCACACCCGTAATCTGAGCCCGACCCCACCGTGAGGACTCGTTGGTTATAACTTCCTAATTTTTTAAAGACAAAAACTGCATCAAAATCTTATTTATTATGGTATTACAATTGCAACGTAACTTCAGTGAAGAAATCACAAGAAATACATGAAACTAATTCCGTTCCTTACATGTGACAGTTTTCGTTTCGTTTAGACGAATTTGATTCAATTTAGGTTGAAAAGGTAAAAGCTACCCCGCAGCGAGAAGCTGAGAATTTCATTTCACTCAATAGCTTATTCCACTTATCATTCTTTATTATCTTTTGTGGACGACGAAACGAAACACTTCATAAATAAATAATTAAAAACATATACAATATGTAAGTAAATTGTAAAATAGACTCCATGAAATACCTTACCGTAGGTAGTCTATTTAAATTTGTGCAAGTAATGCCAACGAATGTGTCACCAACGGCTCTTCGTTTCTTCTGTTTTTTACTGGATACTGAGATAATCTATAGTGAGCAGAGAGGTGGCCATAAAATTATTCAAAGTGGCCATTAGGTGGGGCGCGCGGTGGCCTAGAGCTTTATGCTCAGGATAATCAAACGTTTTGTCGGCAAATTCTTTCACAACATTTGTTTTAATAGCCAATGAAACTTGACAGAATTACACGCAGTGTCAGGTATTCCAAGGAACCTTCCTTTTACGCTAGATCTATACTTCAATTGCAACATTGTACTTGTGAAATTTTGTAAAAAGCTGCTTTTTTGGTGCTATACACATTACCAAGAGAATCGCTATATCTGTTTTATAGCTATTAATGCAACGTGAACTTGTTAAAAACAAAATATTACCCCTTTCTTTATAAACAAAATAAATACCTTTATAGTGGTCTCTTAGTAGAACTCATGGATACTATAGAGATAATGGGTTAACACTCACTTTTAGTTTACGCATTCCAGCAAAAAATTTAGAAGCCGCTTTTCTTTACTCTTTTCACTTCTTTTTAGAAAATAGCAAAAGAAGAAAAATATAAAATGAAATCCCTGTCTCGACCTTTACATGAACTTGTACAAAATACAAGGGTATGACGGGCTGGGAAAGACTGATGAACACAATTGCGCTATAAACATTTTTGCTATTTGGTCGTTTAAATTGTTTTTTCTGCAGTAAAAGAGATAAGATATCACGACGGTCTTTGGTACACATGTTGCGTATGATATCTGAATATGATTTCTTGTGCATGTAAATTGTACCTTCTTTGAAATAAGTAGACGTATTGTTGTTTCAGTGCGCGGACACACAGAAGTGCGAGTGGAGTTGCAGATGGAGCGATGGGCGGCGCGAGGGGGTTCGGTGCGCCTGCGCTGCGTGCACGACGTTCCGCCGCACCTACTCGATAAAGTCGTCTTCCTGCGACACGGCACTAAGATCTTCCAGTACATTAGGGATCGGAAACCGCCTTATAGAAACTTTACTACGCCTGGAGCTGTATTAAACGTGAGTGTGCACATAACAATTTCCTTAATTGTGGTGATTATTATTATACATGTGTCAAATACTATAGTATCAAATACGTGATTCAAATTTTCTTTTAAAAGTAGCTCCATTGCTACACAACAATATTTGTTTAAACATAGTAAATAATGTATTACAGTTTAACATTGCTCCTATTTTACGAAACCATGGAGTTTTCAATTTCGCTTATAATGAACGTTCGGCAACAATGATAGCCCATCTAAAAAGTATACATATATACATTCACACATATCAATATACATGAAGCTAGCCTATTATAGAGTTCTCGTTGTTTTCCAACCGATCCCAAAAGGTACTACTCGATCACGATTTCCAAATTCCTTTCTGTTTTCTAAAGTAAACAAACAAGGTTACTGCAGGAGAGAAAAGGTTTCCCGTAGGGAAAATTGAAAACCCGCGGTCTGTGCTCTTGCGCGGAAGTGTGTTTATTTATTTCGTACCTAGGACAACTCCCACAGCCATTATCTCCTTGGAAACGTATATATCCGAACCAACCACGTTCCTATATATCCAATGGGAACAACAATACTATAGTATAAAGTGCATTTGAAAAACAAGTTGCTTACATTAAAAGAACAGTTATATTTTGTTTGCATACTACATAAAGTACCTAAAATAAATAAATAGTTAGGGAATGAAACTATTTTTTGTGTGAAGAACGTTGAATAACGTTGCTTTGGTACTCATATTGGGAATTCCTTAGTTTGAGACCAGGCAATTTGATGTGGTTGCATGGCACATTATTATTATTATATCTCAATCAACTGTGACCACGGGACCTAAAGGACCCGAAACTTCGGTTTGCTTAAAAAAGCAAATATTATACTCGATTTAGATCCAAAAATAATAGTTTTGTTTCCAATGTGTAACAATCGCGAAAGTCCAAGACCTCTATAGAATAAATTAACATGAACAAACAATACCAACAAACGAAGATCGTTTTAAAAAAAAATTTTAATATATTATTGTATTAAGCTTGTAAGAATACGATAAAAGACGAGTCAGATTGTACTAACTGAGGGCGCTCGCTGGCAGCGTAATGGCCGTTAGTGTTAATTTTCCGAGGCAGCGTGAGGGTTACCACACAAGTAAAGAGTTCAGAAGTTCAAACTAAAACGAAGTTAAGATAGTTCTACCTCGCCGCAATAGTTTGGTACTGCTACGTTTTCTGTTCGACTTTATTTTTAACCTTCGACACAAAACGAGAGGAGTTATAAAGCTGCTTTTAGAGTTAGAAGTATCAGTGGCGTAACGTGGGGGTACAGAGGGGAGCTTGCCCCGTGCGATACAGCAATAGGGAGCAGCTAGAGTGGCAGAGCCCTAACTAATCAAAATTATTTTTTTTACTTAAAAATAGAAACTGAACAACAGAAAGATTGCGACAACAGGCAAATATATTACATAGACGTAAAACTTTTTGCGACTGGCATAATGCAATTCCATGGCGATAGGTGTAGAAACTCCCTTATTGTTAAACAATGATTCAGATTCATTTATTTCTTAAATACAGTATAAATTACACTACATATCAAAGTATAAGAAATTATATTAAGATCGTCAGACAAAAATTAAAATCATATAATGAAAAATACACAATAATTATAAAATTAACAATTCATTTATAATACTATTGTTTTCATTGAATTATGCAATCACATTAGAGGAAGTAGTACAAAAATATGTACGAAAATAAAAAATACTCAATAGCGTTCCATTTTAAGATCCACAAATTCATTTACAGAATATAAAAAGTTTTCCAAGAAAAGGTCTTTCAGCTGGCGCTTAAATATTTCGTCAGATGGTTCAAGTCTCAGAGTAGCGGTTAGACGCTCATAGTACGTGCATCCGATGACACGCGAATTTTTTTCTACCAGTGCCATACTGTTTTCAAATGACCGGTGCTTCGGGGTGGGATGCCAGAAACATTCGATAGTAAATGAAGAAGAAAGATTATTTGTAACCTACATTATAATTATCATATATCATATACGTAGAATGGGTAATGTGTCATTATGCGTTGCGTTACAAAGAGATTTCTGCAGCAGTGTCTGGGTTTCACCCCAACCAATACGCGTACACGTATGTTTTCACCAGTATTATATCGCTACAATCGGGATACACCGCCAACTGACGCTTTTAAACTTTTCCATTGGGCATTAAAAATTACGACCACCCCATGAAAAGTTTCAACTGGTTGTTTAATTTTGTCTACAGGTTTAATAAATTTAGGCTCCTTAAAAAGAAAAAGCCTTTAACAGTAATTAAGTTGCCTGATGGAAGAGTTAAGGAGATAAGTACCTCTATGTACGGAGAATGTGAGTACATTTTGTTTAAAATAAAAATTAAATTAAGTTATGTAACCAGCGTGGTTAAACATAATTACCAAAATGATAGCTTGTTGCGGGAACCAATTATAGTGAATCTTTTTTTAATATTCACTTAGGTACAGACGGCAGCACATCAAGCTACAAATTGGAAACGGATCTTTTTCTGATGTACTGGAGGTGATACTCGAACGAAAATGTATGGCTTGATGTGCTGTTGACTGTACATAGATACCTATGTATGTCCCCATTTCTGCAGCGCGTCTGTAATGATTACGCAGGCGCGTACTGATGACTATTACACTATCATAAGCAAAAAGACGGTTTCGCTGCTCTATAGATTGTGAGGTAGCACTAACTCCATCTTGAAGACTGTGGCGAGGAGACACGATTCCCGCATTATGCGACACTTCCTTCATGTGCTTGTTAGGAAAAGATAATTTCATAATACGAGTATTTAAATTAAATATTTTTACCTAATTATCTAAAAAAAACAACAAACTTTAATGTTTTGTTGTTTGTTTTTGTAGTAGCTAAGTCAAATGTATGCAACAAATATAGAGACCCTGTTGTCTGAAATAAAGACATATAATAATTATGTAGTAACCGTAATTTATTATTACAAATTTTTTAATATTATTTATTATTGTGATAATGTGCAGGTAAGGTACAGTAAAGCTTAAATACTAGGAAATAAAACTAGGGTTTTTAAATTATAATAATAAAATTGGGTTCCCGCGGCAAGGTGCCTAAGATGCTGGCAGCGTTCCCCCTTTGTCTGGCTATGTTAATGCGTTGGGCAAGGTAGCCTTTGGGTTTCCCAGACAGTCTATAAAATTTTGTAGATGAAGGGCACTGGTACCCCACGGGCCAAGGGTTTCGACTCCAAAGGCTGTAAATAGGTAGTCGGAGCCGAGATCCTGGTACTTATTACATTTAGTAGTAACAATATGAGGATAGTATAGACAAAAAGAAGATATATAGTAGAGAATAACCTACAATAATTATTGAATCATTGTAATAAACAAAATCAAAAGCGAATGTTGAACTAAAATAATTTTTTAGGTACCTACATAATAAAGCATTATTTAACAGACCAGTAAGCACCTAATTAAATCACGCAACATTTAATCATGAAAATTCGTGAAAAGTTTTCCTTTGTTTGCAGCACGAACGTCAACTTGCATTTCGTTAACACGATCGGCTCGGTAACTTCCGACAAAACGATTTTATAATACGAAAAGTTAGCTAGAGTTATAGTTGTTGAAACTAGTTATTATCGTAACAGTGCAAAATGCAGAAGCGCATTTTAATTTAATTCGCCGTGCCTACGGACTGCGAGCACGTACGGGTGGTTGCATGCGAATAGCTCGTTTGCTAGGAGGGCGTAACAGGTCGGCCTTGCAGGTCACCTGGGAATGCTCCGACTGACCGATGCACCTACTTAAAATTCAAGCTCGTATCGATATTTTCGACTACGCTGCATTCGTGTTTGCAATTCGCTTTCAACGTCACAAGTAAAACATTACTAAGTTACTAGGAAAGCTAACTACTACCATACTAAATATATTGTAATTGTATTCGCGTAAATTAATTTGCAAGCTGGCAATCTACTATTATGAATGTACTATGGAGACCACGATTTATGTTAGTATGTTAATGACATGAAATGTTTTCGAATTACATTGTTGTTTACGGTAAATACCAAAACGAGGTTATTATTTTACTTTTTCTTTCCAAATTGTAGCGAATCTGGACAGTAATTTACTTTATTTTGTTATAAAAATTTATGTAAATATGTTTTAACGCAATAAGGGATAAAAAATAGTACAAACGAGACGATGATGGCCGGCCGCCCGCCATTACTATGAAAGAAGGTAATAGCTAGACGACAATTATAATTTCCTAAACCACATCACAAAGGTGCTCTTTTTAGTTGTGAACTAAAAGTCTATTGTCTACAGTACTCGCTGCTGAAGTGAAAAAAAATTATTAAAATTCTATAAACAAACTATAGTTAGTTTAAAAAAAAGAACGTCGTATTTTAAAAGAATCTTGTGTTCCTGAACAGAATAACGTTACTATATTTGTGAAAAATTTTTAAATTGAAATTATTTTATTAAATATCTCAAAATATTATATAACAGTTACGAAGGTGTAACCATTTAGGAAGAATAGTACTATTTAAACACATTATAAAACATCAAATATGATGCTACTCAAACGCTCTACTGCCTCCAGATTGGTTAAAATACAAGCGGTACTGGGCCAGTCATGGACACCGTATCTCTTTGTTTTTTTTGTTTAGTAGCGTTTGTTTGACTTTCGTTTAAGTTCGTTGTCGTAGACTGTTCGAATAAACTTTTTCTACGCCTGTGCTTTAATCTGTTGATTATTATTTCATAAACCATATTATAAAGACACTCTTTTAGTTCTGAATCAAAATTATATTGTCTATCAAAATTCTACTCGCCACGGAGGTGGAAAATTTCATAAAAGTTCTGTATCCAGAACCATAATGAGTATTATAATATTGTACACAGAAATATAATGAGTTTCAAAAAAAGAACGTCGTATTTTTGCTAATTAAAATATCAATTATAACGCTACTCAAACGCTGTACTGTCTCTGATTGGATAAATTGGCCTAAAAGTCTTGTAAACGGGCCATAAACCTTTGTAAAAAAAAAATTATTGGTTAAAATATCTGCGGTACTTGACCAGTTCTCTCTTTGGAGATCATGTTTTGTAGTGGCTTTCGTCTAAACATATGAGAAGACTGTATGGTGGAACCTTTGCCTACCCTAATGAATGGATTAAAATATAATATAACAAAATCGCGTTTGTTGTCACAGATTGTTAACAAAATTTATTTACTCGTAGAAAAGTATTGTATGCAATCATTACATAATTAGATCTCAAAATCTCGTACCTATTATTTGTAGGACAGAAGGAGGCACCTTTGCACAGGGGCAGTTTCAATGAAAATGTTGTAGGAATCATGTTTTTATTAAGGCAACACAGAGCCCGACACTTGTCAATGACAACGGTCAGTGTGCGCGCGCCAATAATTGAATGAGAGGTCGTATTTAGTTTCAGGGTCGAAATGTAAACATTCTCATAAATAGTTGTAAGATTATTCTAAGGTTGTAAGGATATGACTGGAAAAGTATGGTTAGTTGAACTTTGCTTATCGCATGGATTGTTTTTTTACTAAAATATGAGATTCTTAATGATTGCAAGTTGTAGGTTTAACAACTTGCAATCATTAAGAATCTCAATTGGGGCAGATTTGAACAAAACAAAGGGAGCAGCTCTGAACACGTTTAGAGGTTGGTACTGATTAGCTTCCTATGCTAATAATTTTATAAGAAGAGGTTTTGTTTTTTTGTTATTTTTATTATGTGTTGTACTTTTCTGTGATTTTATAATTAATTACTTAAGAAGTTAAGTTTTTATTAATTTTTTATATTGTACTTAATAATTTAAACTTTAATTGAGTTTCGTGGGCGCCCGAACCTTTTTCTATAATAGTCTTTTGTAATAGTTTCTTGTAGATTATATATTTAACTAAATAAATTGAAGAACTATTATATATTGTAAAAGATTATTGATAACGGATTTGACAAAAATATTTTGCAATTTCCATTTAAATTGATGAATTCAAAGGTGTCCCTGGCGGGTTAAGCATATGAGTTCCTTCACAAAAATGGGAATTCTGACAGTATTATAAACTTTTTGGTCGTGCTTATTATGAATGATTATAGCCAAATAATAGGTGTAACTACTGCAGCAAACAAAAAATTAATAAATAATAATGATTTAGGATTTTCTTAATACTTTCATCATAGTGTGAGACTACGGATCCTTTATCATCTCTACGCGTTCCTAATAAACGCCCTTACTTTCGTGATTCCTGAAAGTGTTTCAACTAATATTAGTATTATTAGTGTTAGTGCCTAAAATACTTAAATTTCCTTGCTATTTCCCACTTTTCAGGTCTGATTTCCGGAGCTCTGCATATTCTATCGTACCGATAGTTTCTCTGAACTTTGCTTTTCGCTTTTTCCAAATCTAATTATGGATTATTTCATCAATTTCACTTTATAAACGTTGTTTATTTATTATTACTTCCTTAATGGTGGCTACTAGGCTTGGGCCAGTGTCAGTTTCGATGAATGCAGTCAGTTAATATTGATCAAAAACGCCAACGTTAAGGCAGCGAGGTATTTTGGATGACCTCTTCGATGAACTGCTAAAAAAAAACATCATAATATTATTAGAGCATAGTACATAGACTTTAGTCACACAAAATGTTAAAGGGAGAAAACACATGAAGAAGGGAAGTTTAATAGGACGGAGAACACAGGGAGGAAGGACTGAAAGGAGGTCATACAAGGAGGAAATGAACATTCAAAGAAAATGTAATCAAGGGTACCCTCGTCCAAACCACATTCACATAAAGAGCTGTCTCTGACACGAATTTTGTAAAGGAACACAGGGCAACAGGAGTAGGAGCCTAATCTTAGTCTGCAAATAGTTGAATTGACTGCTTTACTAGCTTCGCGGAACTTAAAAAACCAAAGTTTCACTGAGATGCCATTTTGAACACCGGCATAATGCGAGCCTTCCTCCTGGTTTGTCTCAACTGTGAGAGCATGCCAGTCCAGATTTAAACGATCCTTAGCCAAGGAAGTCAGGTCATAAGCACCTGCATAGAGAGAAACAACCTCGACGCAACTTTGCCAAAATGATATATTACCCTCGGATACCAACGTGACTGGGTATCCAAGCCAACGACACCTTGACATCTCTAACAGATAAACACTGCAGTATCTGTTTTATTTTTAAGATGACCGGAAATTTAATTAATTTAATTTTGCTACGAAGTTGATTAGATAAAATAGCCTCAAGAGAACGTTTAGAATCAGAAAAAAATACACAGTTATTAAGATTATGAGAGTCAATATAATATTATATAATATTCAATATAATATAATATTATATAATATTCAGTGCCTCGAAGATTGCCAACGCCTCCCCCGTGAAATCAAAAGTGAAAGATGACAAAACTAAAATTGATTTTAAACTTAAGGGTCCACACAGCCGCTCCAACACATCCCTGATCAGAAAGCTTAGAGGCTTTCATACAAATAGAAGTCCAGTTAGGCCCGTATTTCGGTTGCCTATCAGTAGTCCGAAATGACATGTTCCAGAAATAACGTTTGCTCGAATTTTCATAATCTCGAAAGTAATTTTGAGAGGAAAATGCTTTTTTCTTTTAAATTTAACTTAACCTAACCTAACCGATTCTAATCGTGTCTTTGCGATAAACATCCAACATACACACGGTTTCGGTGTACTGAAAATTCGAACAAACGTTATTTCGGGAAAAAAAATCGACTTTGTGTTACGTTACCCAGTATTTGACAATGGCACGATTTATCAATACTTAGGTCAAACACTATACAAGGGCCAAACATAATGTTATCGTAAGGGGTTTCAATGATCAGGTTTAATCTGCATTGGACGATAGGACAAGAAAGGCGAGAAATTTTAAGATAGCTTTTAACCAAACAAGGGGCATTCTTGTGCTCCAAAGTGCAGAGGAGGACACTAACTCAGAAAGGCATTGCAGTTTAGAAAGAAAAGGATGGGAAACAGACTACATAATCTTGAAGAGGAATCTATCAGAGAGGAATTGAGGAATCAAAAAGATCAAGAAATAGAGGCGAGACTAAATCACAATAATGCTATAAGAAAAATCAGTTTAGTAAATTTTTTACGCATATTGTTCGGTAAACCAGAGTCTGAGAAGCGGGATATACCTAATATTAATCTTCAAAATATCATAATCGTAAAATCGTAATTAATAATATTGAGTTAAAATCACATATCATGTCAATTCATGTTCATCTGCAATGAAAATAATATTCTTTTCAGATCGCGTTAGCTACAGAGAACTCCATAATCTTGCAAAACCTGGACTTCGCTGCCAGCGGTACTTATTCTTGCGAGGTATCGCTAGACACACCCATCTTCACTAAGGCATCTAGCGAGAAACAACTAACTGTTTTTCGTAAGTACATTTCGTATTTTTTACAGTTTGATTATCGTCTCTACAAAATAAGAATATTAAGCTATAATTATTTATTTAATGTTTTTAGGAAAACGACTTACTTTGCAGGTCTCACTTCAAACAAAATAAAAGCTAAAAGCGTTTGTTAAAATTGTGCAAAATAAAAGTGTAATTGTCTAATATTATTATGGATTCTTATCAATATAAGCCGTTGTCGTACAATGTAAAACAAAATGGTTGATATAAACTTGAATCTTCATCTTGAATTTACAGTTTATTGATATAATTCATCGGCTATTTTTAATACAACAGTATATAAGTATTTAGAAAATTACATAGTAAATTATTATTAAAAAAAATGTACAATCATTCGTCGTCGTCAAGAAGTAGTTTTAATGTTCACGTGGAAACATACTAGTGGATATTCTCACGTTAATATTAAAACAAGTTTTTGAGGATGAAATAACTAAAATAGTTATGAAAAAATAACCTAACACGAGTAAAAAGTAGAGTTTTTCGTGGTAAAACGCGACGTAAACAAGTTTTCTCTCTTTCCTAAAGAAACCACGGGCTCGGCCGTGAGCTAAAGAATGCTGGATAATTTGGTGTAATTTAGAAACTCACCCATACATAACTAAATAGCCCTGTCTAATTTCGTAATGGATCTAATTAATCCCACCAAATAAAAGAAATCTTCTTTTTAGGTTAAAAATCAGTATTTCAAATTAAATAAGCGCGTAAATATAAATTCACAACAAATTCTTACTTTTCCTTGCTCTCAAAAAAAAATATACGAGACTGTAGCAATCGCATTAAATGTAAAAAAAACTGTAAATTACAAAATAACACTAATTTAATGACATCTAAGTATAATTATTGTGTCCTTTGCTATAAGTAATGATAATAAAGAATTAGTACACGATATTGCTAAGTTTGATACTAAACCAAGTTCACTAAGATACTTCCAGAGGACCTACCGTTGGGATTTCAAACAGCAATAAAATATATCACGGGCGTATTTACAAACTTTCAACCGCAATTCATCTTGTCATACGATTTCATTTTAATGATCTCTAATTACTATTAAAGTGCAGTATAGTACAGTGGCCTCTACTATAACACATCTATTACCTAATTATATATTTAATAATTCAAGTAATCTCTGAATTTGTATTCATTTATAATGTAAACTGGTATTACAACAGGCCATGCGGATAAAGTTCTATTAATGTTCGTAGACACTATACAAACATTAACAATAGATAGCAGTATTAAACAGTTCACGCAAAAATATAAATTAGAATTCACGTTTTTGCGGTTATTCACTAAATGATTATAACTTGTAACTGGTTTCTTAACACGGTACGACTTTTTTCAGAGCTATTACACTCCACAATCACAGATTGACTGGCAGGTGACAATTGACATATCTGTCTACCCTCTTTCTTTGTCGACGAATATCGTTGTGACGAGTGCTTGTGGCGATCCCATTGTAAGGCTCAACTCACACTGGCGCAGCAACGAAGCGGCGCGTCGCTTCCTGTTTTTCAACTACAGCGCATGACTTTTGAACATTCCCTGCCCGCAAGTAAAGCACGGCGACGCGCGAAATCGCTCGAATTTAACCAAGCGTCGACGCGCGACTCCATATTTGGATAACACAGATTTGTACCTTAATAATGGGAAAACAGAGATGAATATGTTATAGGCGAAAAACATGACGCGTCGCGACGCGTCGACTCTGCGCCAGTGTGAGTTGAGCCTTACACTTTTCCCCGGGTATGAACTAACAAAGCAAAAAATCACGAAGAAGAGAATGAAAAATTCAAGGATCGCTGATAAAGACAGATACGAAAATGCCGCGATAAGAATAAATTACAAGTACATCAAGTATACCTACTCGTTAGGAAGGAATTTTCGTTTGTTTTCTAAACATCATGAGAGCGTCATTTCGATTACTTTCTCTCGGATAAACACAATCGGTATGTTATTGGTGCTCCGCAGAATCCAATAAACGGCCTAAACTTCGTCATTAACGTTCTATTTGAATGCGAGATGAGGACCGATCGTGGCATGCATTGCAAATAAGCAAACACCAGACCTTCATATTTACCAAAACAAGTTCTAACAAATCTCAACCCTAACACCTGCTAAATTGAGCACAAATTGATTAAATTGTAACCACCGCACAATCCGTGCTGAAAAGTTACGAATAGCTGAATAGCAAGGAGCTATTCAAAAATAGAGTTTTGAATTCGTATCAGTTGAATAGAGAAAATGTAACCGATGCTGACTTGAACAAATGTCGATTGGAACAAGACAGACATTTCATTTCTATTATATTATTGAAACGTTTGAAATCAATAAAATTCTGCGATAGTGATCACAAAATAGAAATCACACACCACCACTTAATTAGTCAGTCATTAAATATCGATTTTTGGAAACTGTTGTACAAAATAAATAAACTATCTATCTAATATATCTATACTCCATTATGTAAATAGTGGCACGGTGAAAATTGTTTTATTGTAAATATTATGTCGTTAACATTCAACTGTATGTATAAAACATTTTTAACATGTTTGTTTAATTTCTTATGTAATATGGGGATGTAAACTAAAAAAAGGAAATGTTCACCATAGTTATAGTGTGCTTACAATGGGCTACGTGTCTGAAAAATATGTATTACAAAATAAAATATAAAGAATTCACTAAAGAGCAGTCGTGCGAAATTGTTCTCTGTTCGGAAGGAAACGAAGTGGGGTTTATTTCGCCGTTCGGATCATTTATCAAGTCCCAAGTCGAGCAACAAATATGGTGGCCTCGTTTTTATTGAGAAGAATTCGTTTACGAACCTAAAGAATTCGCTACGATGTTATTTAGATGGGTACAGTTTTATTTCTTTGCAAAGGATAGTGGTGTGTGCAGGAAAACAGGAGTTTGAATCTATCGCAGCTCAGACGTAGGACCATTGTTGTCCAGAACTTCTTTTAATATAAAATCACCATACTTCCAGATATTTAAGACTGAAATATTTAGCTAATGTTGACAAAAAAGATGTGAGAGTAAAATTTAAAAAAAAGCTGTTTAAGGTCCCTGTCTTGGCCTGAGTTGTAATAAAATGATTAATCGTTTAACAATGACAGTGTTAACTGCGCAGAGGAATTCTTTCAAATGCGGTGGAAAACAGCAAATCTCTTTTACAGGTAAGAAATATTAGAAACATCCGTGGCCTGTTTCCCCATAACGACATTGTTTCCTTTACCATAAAATTAATTAAAGAAGAAGATGACGTTCTTCTTCGTTGATTAAAGCTAATAAATGCTTCACATAACAATAGAATGGGTTTTCCATGATTATATTAAAATTTTCAAAATATGTGGGAATGGTTAAATGTAAAATCAAAATGTCAAACCAAAACTGCCTCAGTGGCCGAACGGTTACCATGCCGGGCTGCCACGCAGAGGTCTCAGGTTCCATTCCGGGGCCGGGAGAAACGTTTGTATGGCCTACATTTATTTCTCTCATTATTATTATAAAAAAAGAACTTTTTAAACAGAAATTTAAGAAAATACTCATGGTTAACACTTAGAGTAATCATTAATAGGTAATGAACTATCGTGGATAGTTTGGTATAGTTTTGCTCGGCTAACTGGTACTCCTCAACAACGTCTATGTATTCAAAATTTAATGTCAGAAGATACTTAGCGGTGCATGGTCACGACTTCTTTTGATACAATTTTGTTTAATTATCTGTTCCAAATCATCGGCGCTGGTCCAGGATGCTTCAGCCAGGATTATTATAGCTTGAATCAACTTAACGTCTTTAGTTTGGGAAAATCTTAACATCGAGACTCAGATTCGCACAAAGCCATCTAGCAACAAACTTCGAAACTGTTTCTATCATGGAGCAGAAGAATAGCCTGTGGATTTAATTAGAGTTATAAAAAATTCTATATAACAAAGTTATTTTGTTACTGATCTAGTGTTTTTAGGATCCATAGTCAAATTAGGAAGTGGAAGAACTTATTATTAGGAAGTGAACTCATACCGTGTGTGAGAAAAAATACACCTGTTTATTATATACCAAAGAGTTTAGGCATAATTAAGTGGGACGTCATTTAATTATATCTTACAAAATCTAACAAATTATGTTACTCGCGTACATTAAACGCTCTAGCCTCAATATAGTCACTGTTAGTGGTTTTCATCAGTGACTTTTATTTATTTTTTAAATGATACCTACACAAGTACAAGAAAAGACCACTTTCTCAATAGGTAGTTATAAGTAAAACCTCGTAGAATGGAATTACATTAACTGAGTAGGTAAATTATCTTTAGAATTATTTTATATAGTAAACCCCTTTCTATTAAATATAAATAAGAATAAACCTTGACAAGAGTCATAGGAGGACAAGCGGGAAAAACTGTATTGCTAGATCAAATGGTTTAGGTATTTACTATCCAATAACGTTCTTACAAAAAATATACGATACACCTAAGGATAATGTCTAAAGAATGTGCTAATTTGTTACAGGACAGGACAAATCCTGAAAACAGGATAAAATAAAAGTCTAAAATGAATTATTTAAGAATAAAATATCTAACTTTGTACATAATTTTTATATGGAGATATTTCTCTTTAAGCACTACAGAAAACTAGCAAAATTCAATCCGTCAATCGCCATCGTGCGGTTGTCGACGTCGAATCTGGGCCAAATTTTGTCCGCCTGTTCTTATTTTATTCATATTAATTTTCAGCGCGTGGGTGGCGGTCCCCCTCAGCTCCTAAAATGTAAGCTTACGTTGAAATCCCTCGCCTTAATATAAAAATCTATTCAAAATAAGAAATTAGCAATGGCGGGATTTTTAAAATGTCAATGTTCCCTACGGAGCATCTGCTAGTTTCATTTTGTTCTAGTAGGTAATTACACTGTCTCGATGACTCATAAAATTACCCTCGCCTGAGAACAAAATGCAAATAAGATTACATTAAAGAACCCAACTTTCAATAGACAAAAACTTCAACCCTACGGTACACGTATCCACTGACTGAATTAATTACGGTTTAACAGTGCATTAAATGTTCGTGATCAATTTTATTGTGTAGAATAGTAAAGAAACGTAGGACATAAAAAACTATCTAAAGAATCATACTTTTGAATCTATGTTCAAGCTATTTAAAATTCTAATCGTCAATGGCGGTACTAATTTTAATAAAATAAATTCAAAAATCCGGATAATATGCCCGTTCGTTGGTGGTAGTAAAATGCAAACGAAATAAGACGAGAATATTGTGTAAATGTTTTCATTCATTCAAGTTATCTTAAGCTTACCCCTGGGTAACATTCTTTATCTTGATGTGTTTCAGAGATATAGACTTATGACTCCTAGACGCAGACGTAAAATAAAAGTTTGTAACTTGAAAGAACTTTTGTATTTTTGGAACTGCGAGTCAATTTAACACAAAGCAAACTAAATTAAATATGAATCGACAAACAAAGTAACTAAAAAAACGCATTTTCTTAACTCCTTACACGGAAATAGATTGGGTTTTACATGAAAATTTACTGAATAATCTGACAGGGATTAATTTAACATTTAATCCACTGATTAAAAAAACCCACCTTTGTCTGCTTTTCTGGAAATTATTTTCCAAAGTTTTTCTTTTCAAAACTGTAGGTTTATAATTCTTGCTTTCGTTGAATGTAATGAATGGTTGCAACAAAAATTATTTTTTTCTATTTTTACTAAGACTTATAATATTATTGATTTTCTTTGACGTACTTACAACGTGGTATGTACTTGCAATAATTCACCAATACTATGGTCGGACTAAATTATCCACTTAATAATGGCAATAAAAGTATCACATTAATCTTAGTTAAATCTGACCGATAAAACACACGATAATAATTATTCCACTCATTATATAAACTAAAACTTCTCTAGTAGTAACATTAGTCCTAAAAATGGTGCGTGTGTTGTTAGTACTGTGTCTGCTTGGGGTCTCGATGGCGAAAGGCCACGATTGGGAAGAGGGTTGGTTCAATTGGCATGAAAACGTGGGAGTAAAACAAGCCGAATATATCAAAAGGTCGGAAGCTAATATAGTTGGCATGAAACCAATTGTCGGTGGAGCCATTGCACCTGTCAACGCACATCCCTATCTAGTTGGTCTTCTCATCGGCATTATAGGTTTACCTTCACCGTCTGCCTGCGGAGGATCCGTCCTGAGCAATACAAGAGTACTAACAGCAGCCCATTGTTGGAACGATGGCAGAAATCAAGCACGAACTTTTGAGGTCGTCTTTGGTTCAGCATTTCTGTTCCATGGAGGAGTAAGAATATTTGCAGATGGCATAGCCGTACATCCAGAATATTACGCCAGAAGATTAGCAAACGACGTCGCTATTTTGAGGTTATCACGTCCAGTTGCGTTTTCAAATACAATCAGACCTGTGAAGCTGCCATCTGGAGTATTTAGAAACATGAATTTTACTGGAGTGTGGGCAAAAGCATCTGGCTATGGTAGATATTCGGACTTGACACTCCCAAATGTGAATACCGTCGTTCGCCACATCTTCCTGCAAACAATTCCGTTAGATCCGTGCAGAGCAAAATACGGAAGCATTGTGTTAGACTCCAATATCTGTACGAGTGGTACTGGGGGCGTGGGGATTTGCCAAGGAGACTCCGGGGGACCATTGACGATAAATGCTCAAGGGGAAGACGTATTGATAGGCATTAGTTCTTTCGTAGCATATCATGGATGTGAATTAGGACTTCCTTCGGTCTTCGCAAGAGTTACTAGTTTTGTGGATTGGATTGAACGGTTTTTGTAAATCATTGACTACCTCCGGCCATTAAATAAAATTCATTTTTATACGAACACTGCATTTATTACTTTGAACTTACCACCAACTGTATATATAAAACTAATATTTTACTAAGATAAAATGTAAAAACTAATATTTTCTCCATGTAACTAAAAACTCTAAATACTATTATAATTTTGATCTTTGCTCCTCAAAGACATAAAGAGGTAAAACAACATTTACTGATTAAATTTATTACTTTTTACTTTGATAATATACATTTACTTAAATAAATAATAGAAAAAGAAAAATAAATGGGCATCAAATTGTTGATAAAATGTGTAATACTATTTATCAACAATGTCAGAATCTTGAAAAGAAAGATAAATTACACCATTGCCCACAAACATTTATTCGAGCTCCAAAAACGCTACAAATCAGACTTGACACAATTAAAACCACGCTCAAATCATTTTGATTATTATTTTATAACCTCAAATTGTATCTATATTATTCATGTTTGTCTCATTTCCTTTTAACTGCTCAATTTTCGTTATCGAAAGACAATATTTTTTTCGAAAAACAACATATTTTATTAAGTTTAGAACTGTTCCCACCTCTAATTGCAAATAACAAATTACATCTCTCAGGGGATTATAACTGGCCGCTTGTTTGTTAATAATGCAATACATAATATTGGAAGTGGTATTTTGTTGCTTGGAAGAACAAGCTGGACGGCATCTAAAACGACGTGGTGTCGGTGAAATATAGATATGTAAGTGCCTAGATAATAATGTCGTACAACCCTTTAGGTCAACTAGATTTAGGAAAACTAAGCACCTGGTGTAGAGTGTATTTTTACAAGCCAACATATAATTGCTACTCATAACTCTCCTGTTGACTTTTCTCTATAGGTGGCAACCATAGTGGTAACCAGTGACAAACCTCGCGGGACTACATTACTAACACCATAAACAACAACTTTTGTTCCGTGACTTTTTACAAAACATAATTTTACCAAAAATAAACCTTTAATTTTTTGTTGTATATACTATCCTCCACCCCCGCTCCTGCGTTTTGCAGCGACTGGGTGTTTATGCTAGCGCTTTTTTTTTTAGTTACCACAAGAGTTATCACCGTTTAGAATATTATGTTTAAATGTTTTTATATTTGTATGAATGTAAAATCTGATGAATTATTAAACGTCGTGGAACAAAAGTTGTTGTATATGATGTAATATAATACTGCGAGGTTCTTACTATTTTAAAAATAACCCTGTCTACGTGCCTAAGAAATTTACAATCCAACTTATTAATAGGTATTCCTGCACTTCTATATCGGTTTAAGTTTTTAAATATCCACCATTCGCCAGTGATAGTTACATACAATTAGGAGTAAAAACAAACTAGAGCTTACATTTGATACCGTACCAGTTTAATGCCTACTCGGTTTAAGACCTTTTATTTGCTGTAATAGATGCGTGTTTGGCTACGAAGCTACGAACTCGTAGCCTTTTGTTAAGTAAATTGTACGTAGCTACTTGTTTAAATGCGAATTGTCTCTTAGAAATTTATTAACGAAAAAAAATTTAAACAACAAACAAGTAATAGTATATTCTTTATAGAGGAACTATAACGAGCAAATATACAGAGTGTTCTTTTTAATTGTGATACCATGGGGAAATTCGATACCATAGAAGATACAAAGAAACTGTCTTCAGAATCATTAAGTCCTTTTTTGTGAAAACAATTTTGGATTAGTCAATTTTTTGGTCAAGCATGAGTGTATTGTGCTGATCGCCTCAGATTTAACAAAATAATTTCATTGTATGGGACGAAAAAATAGGGACCGCAGAAGTTGATCAAATTTATAATAGCATCATTCCGCTAGCCTCATTATGCAATTGTTGCATAATGAGGGTTCTGAAAGGCGAGAACCGCGTAATAGGTACGAGTTATTAAGACCTAATTATGTGATTGATGAATGATTGCATACAATATTTTTTCTTTTATGGTTTTGTGTCTATTACTCCGAGTGCTATACTGGCTTTTAGTCTTTAGGCTTGAATCTTTATTTTTCACTTCGAGTGATAAAAATAATTTATATCAATCGTATACACTCTACAACAAAATCAAAAACCAAATTCTGAAGATTTCGCGATATTTTTTTCAACCAGATACAGATACAACAAACGCAACTAAACGCCATCGCTACGATTAGCGGACTTTGGCAATCATGAGTCATGATGAATCACGATTTACTTGCTACATCGCGTCACTAAAATGGTCCATACACAAACGCACTATCACGGGAAAATTATATGGCACCACCGTCTATGCGGAAAAGACACGGAACTAATACCGAGCGTAGTCGTAGAACGAAACTATTTCGTAATGAAAATGATCCACACACAAGCACTGTTTTTGTAGAATTTCCGCAGCACAGCGATCTCTGTGAGACTAGGTTTATTTACTTTGACGAATTATTATAATGTTAATTTATGTTGAGTGTGGGCGTTATTATTATTAATTATCTTTTTTGTTTTTTTAATTTCTTTCACCTATTGAACTTTAACCTTTTGGTACAAAGTAGAGCAAGTACTAGCTGTATGAGTTTGTCTAAGTCACTCGACGTAAACTCGACGCTTTCGCTCTAGAACAAAATTACGAATCAAAATACATAGATGCAATAAACGCACTAACGCGAGAAAATAATATGGCGCCACCGTCTATGCGGAAAGGCATGGAAGTAAAACCGAGAGTGCTACCGGTTGTTCGAGTTTGTTCACTCGAAGTAATTAAAAAATTAGATATTTTATACTCTATAGGGATTATACGACGCACCACAAATTAGGATGCACTATACTCCCGCTACGCAAGGCTATAATGACGTACTTTTAGAGCATGAGCAGGGAAAAAAACCATTGATGCTCGAAACTTTAGAATTTTTTGCATAGGTAAAATTTTATTTATCCTGTGCAAAATCTTTTCATTTAGTATCTTTGTGGTCATAGATTGTTTTTAGTGAAAATAATGACAGGTTTTACCTACTGCTATGTATACAATTATTATAGTAGCTGTATCATTACATGTTACTGTCTTGGTACTACATAGTTCAGTTTCTTGGAACATATTCGATTGTTTACGTACCGCCACTTATAAAGGTATCTATTCACCTATTTATAAAGTGGAGGTAGAGTTACGTCATTCGCCTAGCCTAAATCAAGTTAATGATGAAAAATTCAACCCGCGACAGGGAAGTGGCTAAAATTGCAATAATTCGGTCTATCGGGGACGGAAGCCGCCGCAAATTTGGAACGAAGGGAGTACGGTTCAGGAAGTCACTAATGGATGAAGCGGAAGTCCGTAATATTTGATCGCTTTGGTTAAAGGAATCCCGTTAGGACAAAACGATACAAAATGTTTGTACAAAGCAATTACAGATAAATTCAGCGATGCTAATGGAATTCTAATTACATCTCTTGTATCTGAACAAGAACGACTTTAAAGTACAGATGAAACATCTAGCTAGGATTAGGACGGGATATCTAACCCATTTTGGCTATGATGGGATTATATATGATATATATGATAAGGGGATCGTAATTTTTCTCGAGAAAAATGTGTCGTTTCCTGTAAAAGTGGTGTATCTCCATATATTTTTAAATACATTTTTTTTGCTTAATGGTATCACATTTAATCATATCTTTCATTATAAAAGTGAGGTAACTCCAGTAATTGCACTTAAACCCCATAGATGGCGTTAGTTGTTAGTGCTAATTATTTATTATAAAAGTGAATAAGTTACAACATTTAATTACAAGGAGACAATTCACAGGACTATATCACTATCAACATAAACAACAACTTTTGTTTGATGACTTTTAATAATTTTGTCACATTTTGCTTTCATACAAAAATACAAATATTTAAATATCGCTCTAAACGGTGATAACTTTGACCAAAACGCATGAGCGGGGGTGGGGTGCGGGTTCTCGGAGAGGATGCTTGCACGTTTGAACTTACTAATCTTACTGCCGGTCTAAAAAGTGTTAGATAGGACAACAACAACTTACAAGTTTATTTTTTGATAAGTTAATTACTTATAATTTTTAATACAAAGATCGAACACTTAGAAAAAAATCTTTCAATCTGGTCGGGTTCGAACCGACGTCTTCTAGCAATTCCATACAAATTTAACTACAGTTAATAGCGACGTATCTAGCCAGGGCTGGCAGCTGTAAAGTTACCTAATTGAGTGACGAAATACTTTCATAGATTTCTCATAGATGGCGCTACGGCTAAAAACTCGTTGAAAAAACCAAATACAAAGATCCAACAAACAAGCACTTACAAAAATTCGTGAGGTCCGCTGGTTCATTCCGTGGCTTAGTTGGCACGGTTTGCTAGAATACGTCGGTTCGAATCCGGCCGGATCGAAGGATTTTTTCTAAGTGTCCGATCTTTGTATTAATAATAATTATAACAAAGTGGTGGAGTAATTTCACAAAAAAATAATTGAATATCAGTTCAATACAAAATTAAATTAATTACTTTTTTGTAAAAACTCGTGGAACAAAAGTTGTTGTTTAATGTGTTAGTAATCTGGTCCTATGAAGCTGTTAGTAATTTACAAATAATCTTGTATATCTAAACATTACTCATTCAGCGACCATCTGTACAGATCCCCAGAAGCATAATCCCCGCATCGATTTCCCGATGCGATACCTGAGCTCAGGCGAGACGCTGCGAGCCAATTGCACCACTGCGCCCGCTCTACCTGCACCGCACATCACTTGGTTCATAAATGGGAGCAAGGTAAAATAAATATTATAATAATACATTCAATAATTATCTTCTATGCCTTATTGACAATTACCCCTCTGTGCAAATTTTGGTTAATTGACCAGCTGCTCTGCTCCTAGTCTCGGTTTTGATGCCTTTCTTATGAATGAGTATTCTGGAATACTGGAGTATTTAATACCTATTGTTTTATAGGTTTTGCAATTGGTTCTGCAATCTCAAATGTATTTTTATAGAATAACTTTATAAATGACAAAAGAGGGTTATTAGCACAAAGTTGCTATATGTATATCTTTATTTTATATTGTGAAATGATTTGCATGAATGAAAGTAATTTAGATAAATGAACGGTTTGATTTATTATGGCACGATGGCGTGTCATGCAAAATGATTCCAATGTTAGAAGCGTAAACTTACGATATCCAAACTTCGAATAATAAATACACACACGTAGATACAGAAGTCCAATTTATTTTGTATCAAAGAACCTTTCCGTCGTTTTCATAATGTATTTAAAAAAAATTGCATATTTCAGGTGGACGAAATCGTAGCATACTCGCACAAATACAGAGTGCCCGTAAATGAGCGAAGTGGTAGACGAGGTCTCCAAAGGCCCTTCGAACACGACGAACATCATAGCACGCCACCTCCTCTCCTCACTCTTACCCACGCCTCACATGTCGCCACACGACCTCCAGGATGCAACCTTAAGGAACACCACCAGGTACCAAAACTAAACCTCTAAATAACCAACCTAATTATTCACATCCGAGACCAGAACAATTTTCACCTAAAAGATATTGCCATTTACGTATAAATTTCGTAAATATTCGAAATTAAAATAATCAATTTACCAAACAATCTCCCGGATGTAGTCTAGAGAAACGTACTGATGTAACGTTTATGTGACATCACATTCAAAAGTACTTACAAAAGCGTGCCAAACTTCCCTGTTTCGTTTACTGTATTTAGCTTGTGCACACCAAGGCCCAAGGAAATTACTTTTATGCAAATGAACCATTATGTTCGCCACTTCCCTCGAGTTGGTCCTCGGTACCTACAACGAACCATGTAGGTGACTTATACAGTAATTAAAGTATATTTGCTTTTCAGATTAATTTGAAAGCGATTTTTGTTTTTGTGCACTTTGTTTTTGGGCAATATCAAAGCTCAAAACCTTTTTTCAAAATCCTCCTCAGATTTCGCCCAATGTGAAAAACTCTTGAATAAAAGATAATTTTTGCCAACTTTATCAAAATCGAGCGTGAAAGAGCAAACTACCCTGGTTTGATAAAGCTAAGTTTGCCAGCTTTGTGGAGTTAACGACCGCCTATCTGCGATGCGTAAATTCCTAAACCCTTTGTCTGTCAAAAGATAATGCGAAAACCGGTTCACTGTGAAAATTTCAGTGTTTATTAAATTCATTGCGCGCATAAAACAACGTCTTACGTAACGGTGAAATATATAAAGTCTATATATATAATCTATCAACGCTGATAGAACTTTATTAAGTGTCGACATGTTTTTTCACTTATTTGTTTCCTAGACACGTTTTCCTACAAAATGAACACAAAAATATAGCGAGACTTTTTTTACTTCACAAAATTTTTGAGAGTAAATCTGTCCATATCGTTACGAACAAGATGTTTTACTATTTTGATCGAGCAGGTATGCACTTGTAACATGGAACAGCTGATATTTTATATTGAAGTTGTTGTTATTTTTGTTTATTGCTGTGTAACAATTTCACTCCGTGACTTTCGGCCGGTGCCGCTTAATTAGTGGCGAAATTGTAATTTGTATTGATGGTTTTGTTAATTTCACTGTTATAGATGACGGAAATAAAAGACCTTGAAGAACCAAATGTGATCCACGCTACCAGCAGACACAGAAGCCGCAAAACTGGACGTGGTCGAGACTTGTACGTTACTGTGTCGGAGCTCCAATTAGTTGCAACTGGCAGGCTGGAGATTAAGTGCGTCAGTACCATTCCAGAATTTAGAAGCATAGAGGACAAATTTGCGGATATGAGGAACGATACAGTCATAGGTAAGACTTACTCAGCACTTGATATACCTAATCGCATACGTGTTTGATGTACTTAGATCCCAGTAGGTATATAATCTTCTTAACTACTTGTAGTTAACTTAATGCATAAACTCGAACATTATAACTTACAAATGTCGAAATACGACGTGTTAAGTAATTATTAATTCAGACTGCTACTTTTTAAAATATTTACTCACAAAATACAAAAAAATATGAAAAATAATGAAATGTTTGAATGAGCGATTGAAACTAGATACCTACCTACCTAAGCCGCCCAAAAGCTTCTTAATTGGGGTCAGGCAAACAAATTCCCTTAAACTCGATTTATTTGTTTTTTAATCCCTTAAAATTTGCGCAGAAAATATAAAAACTGACGTAAAGGTTAAATCATTTGGTAATAAAATGTAATTAATATACTTTTATTACATTACGGGTTTTATTGAATTTCTTCGACCGCTGGAAACAGTTCATCTAAAAATTCCTGCGATATGTTCTGCAGCATTAGCTGGTTGGAATATCAATATGAGAACCAACGAAATATGAAACTTTCGGTCTATTAACTCTTCCGCGCGTATTGGCATGAAACGCGAAAAACATTTCGAATGGTTGCACGATCGGTTTCATGATTTTATTATTTGTTGACAATTCACATCAAAAAATTGTTCGTCCACAAAGCGTGCGTTTCGCAATTCCGACAAACAAATTACAAAGTACCTGCAAGTCGTTACGGTTTAGGTGGATACTTTATAAAGTGTAAAAGAAGTCTTGGTTTAAGCGGCGCAAAGGTCGCAAAATCGGTTAAAGTTTGGAAAGAATGTGACACTATCTCCGCAAGACCCTTGAGAGAGCAGCATGCGAAAACTTCTTAGAGACAATAAAGTCTATTCCAATAAAAGAAACGCAAGTTTTATTATCTATTTTATAGCAGAAGTAAGTAGAAATGGTCCTCCGAAGACATTTTAAATGCTACTAAAACAAATCTCGCCGATGTGGAGGCGCTGACCTTGCGGAACGCCATAACTCTTCGCATTTTAGAATTCTCACCAACTGACAGTTTGATTGGTTAGTTTCTTCATATCGATATGTTATTTCGATTCTGAAACAGGTAACGCTCATTCAGACCTGCTTTTTTTGGCGACAACATTAGATGTGCCTAAAACCTAAAACGTTGTGCTCAGTTATAGACCTTTTGAATTAAGCCATTTTCATCCGGATGAACATAAAAAATGTCACAATTTATTGTTTTAAAATTGTTAGCCAACCGATATAATTGATAGATGCAGTAACGAAGGTTTATTCGTTCGGAAATTATGTGAGTTTGTTTCTTCCGTTTTTATCTAGGTTACTGCAATAATTTAATTTTGCCATATTAGTTCCGAGATATCTAGGCCAGCATTTGCTTTAATTCTCTTCTAAACACCCTAAAATTATCACGAACTTTAAATATAAACTAATTTAAAAAAAGTTTATGTCAGCATTGAATTTATTTCCTAGTCGGGGTTGTCACTTTCAAATTCGAATTTTACTTGAATCCGAACAAAAACTCCTCAATTAAAAAAAATCATAACCTATACATAAATTATATAATGGGATACCTACACTGAAGAACTGCGCTTGTATTGGCTTATACACTACACGAAAACACCTACACTAAATATTAAGTATATACGGAAAACACCCGCAGGGTATCCGGTTAATTATTTATAGGTGCCTAGTCAAATAAATAAAAAAATTAAAATCGGTATTTTTTATTTAAATTCTATAATTATATAGGATAGGTAGCTATTTTAAAAGTAACTTTCGAGGATCGTCGGCAAAATGGTTTATGACGTCTTTCGTGAAAGTATCGCCCATATCGTTAACAAATTTTCTTTGTGCACTGAGCATACAAAGCCCATTTAATCTGTCTTCGATCATAGCCCCTGTACCGTAAGTGCTTAAAATAACAAAAAAAATTAAGCATTTTCAAAAATAGCTCTATCACTCCATGTATTTTAATATTAGGAATTATTCCCCTTACGTCAAAATGTTAAACCAAATCCTGTTTTATTCCCATAATTAATTTTCAACCTGGCATTTATCGAATGATACAAGTACAGTGAGCATGAAAATATAAATAAATGTAGTTACTTTAGAATATTTGATTAACGTAAATAATGAAATAAAATCTATTTTATAATAAAAAAGATTTTCATAAAGCTTTTTACGAAAGCGTGTTTTTAATGTACGTAAAGAACACGGTATTCGTATGGACGAATGAAATCAAACTGTGGTAGATAATTATAACTAGTATGCCAATTAATAGTTACTTGTTATGCAAGGCTACAAAGAAACCTGAGCAAGAGCTAAGATTGAATCACGAGCAAAGCGAGTGCGATGCGTTCTGAATTTACGCCTCATCAATTCTTATTCCTGCTTGTACTTTTATTTTGTGTGATTAAATGATTATTGAAAAATATTTTAGTTCTTCGACGAATTCAAATAATTTTATAAACACAATTATTTATCATTGTCAATTTAATGTCAACAATAATAAGAATAAAAAATACCAACGGATCCAATTTACATAAATAAGTAATGTACGACAAATCGCTTAATTGTACGTGCCATTATCCTATTTTTTCATCGTAAGAAAAGGTTAGGTGCACCACAGTCCATAGCCATGTTCGAATTCCAAAAACCTTTTCCACGCTAGCGTGCAAACGCTTTTGCGCGCAGATTTCTAATTAAAAAGAAAGCCTTTCCGAGCTAGGGTAATGAAAAAAATATTTATATATATATATTTAACGTCTTTTAGTAAAAGTAGTTAAGCATGTTCAGACAAAACGCTGGCGGAGGCTGAAAATATATTAGTATTGATACACTCAAGAATAACCTTAGTTCAAAAGTATGTACGTACGTTTATTGTAAATTTATACTGCCGTTCACTAACTAAAGGGCGGTTAAGTGACATATGGTCAAATAACCGTTTTAAATATAATATTTTAAATAGCTAAAGATAGAGCAGACAATTATCTTTTAAAATCAGTTCAAATTAGTTAACGTGTTCGACTTATCAGAACTTACACTAACGGTGCATAGTTAAAATATATATATTTTTAATAATATTAACGCACACTCACACACTCAACATAATCCCGTACAAGGGAAACCCTGTCGCGGGTGCCATGGAGACACACATAGACAACCACAAATTACACCCAAACACACGAAAGAAATAAATGTAGGTCAAACAAATATTTCTCCCGGTCCGGGAAACCTGAGACCTCTGCGTGGCAGTCCGGCCATAGTAACCGTTCGGCCACGGAGGCAGTTAGTTACTTATCATTAAACAATTTCAATATTCTAAAACTGGGATATAGTTTTATATGATATCTTAAAAAAAATTGTCACGTAGCCACGTTTGAGTATGCTAAAGTGGACTTAAAGAGAATAAATAACAAGGGACAACATCCCGGTTATCGCAGAAGAAGTCTTTGAAAGTCGAAATAAGAGAATTTCGCAAGTCGCAAGTTTATGGGGTAAATTCGGAAACAAATTTTACATTAGATCCAAAAGTTTATTATTTATGATTTCAGTGGATGTGATCAGACCGTCGACGCTCTCTCAACCGTCTGCCAACCTCACCCTACTGGAACCCAGTGCCTCAGCCGCTGCCCATCCTCTAATCTCATCTATCTTTTTTTCTTCACTTCTTCTCAGTGTACCAATTATCGCTTCATAGGACTTTTAAACATTAATTTTAATTAAACGAGCTGTGATAATAAAATCTTATATGTTCACTTAATATTGTTCGCATGAATCGTGTATTTGATTGGTTGTTGGATTGATGACTCAGTGCGCTAGACTAGGTAATAAACATAGGCTAACGTCTACCAGACGTACTATACTCTGCCTAATCTTTTAGGTAGGTACATAGTTGCAACGTGTTCACTTTTATCTGTAAAGTATAAATAATATGTCTTATTATAGTTTTCTCTCCATCGTAGATACGTACCGGCCTATCTCAAAAAATACGTATCAACAGAAACAAAATACTGGATTTAATACATAGTTCAACTCTATCATTACTTACATCACCTTATCTATTTCTGCCGCCAAGCAGTAATGTCAGCATTACTGTGTTCCGGTTTTGAAGGGTACGGGTGCTGATGAAATTACAGGCACATGGGATTGTCAACTTATGTCTCAGGGTGATGGGCGCAGTGGTAGTGCCCCACAGATCTTTACAATTTAAAGCTCTGAGTAGCACAGTTTTGGATAGACGTGTAGCTTATCATCAGGTGCACAACTTGTTCGTCCCGTCACTTGATGTTATAAAAAAATAATAGGAATTGCTTTTAGAATTTCTAACTTTTGAAAATCGTTTTACATTTTTCTTACTCTTATCAAAATTGTACCAATTGTATGCTTCATAAGAAAACTCTTCGGTGCCTACGAAAAACGCCAAAACTGACATACGAGTAGGTATTATTATCACTTCTTGAGAGACTATTAGGTGTCAATTAGCAAGGGTAAAATCTTCCTAAAATAATATGGAACTAAGTACCTATATTAAACAAAACAGATGATAATTTTGATATTCTGTGCCCTTTTATAATTGGGGATCAATTATATGTACGATTAGGAAAAGAGAGGTATTTTACCTAATGAAATTGATATTGACAACATCGTGGGTGTTTCATTGATTCAACCGTTTAAAAGAGGCACATAGTCTGTTCAAAACTGATTTCAGTCACATAATCATATATTTTTTTGTAAATACTACCTAGTATTAAGATTTCAATCTCATTAGAATATGGCGTAGTGTGAAATTCTGTTATTACAATAAGAACTTCAATTTTGAGTTTTGCGTTTTAGTTAGAAAAATAAATGTTGCATATTTCTCACGAGATTTACAAATTACTTTAATGCAAATATTGAAAAGTTGGCTAATCAAATTAGTACGTAATTTAAGTCTCTACTCTATCATTAGTGACACTTCAAACATCAGTGATATTTGACTGCCATGTAATAGATTATAATTATTAAAACTTAAATTGTATATATGGTAGTTAATACATATTATTATGTAGTGTCATAAGATATTTTCTGCGAATATCAAGCAAGTTCTGGTGATGAATGAACGATGAATAATGAAACATAAGTTATGAAATAAAACCTATATCAACGAAGTTGTCATGTGATAACGAGAAAAGTGTAACTTCAAATACCAAAACATATCAATGAACAAGCCTCTATCTAAATTATAATAAATATTTTAATTCATGTATAAAGTTCTAAGTCCTCTTGTTTTAGATTATTTTTATGATTAAATTTCAATTGAAAGTTAAATATTAAAAGATTTTCTCATTTACTGATTGTGTTTCTTTTTCTTACTTAGAACATAATAATATATGCATCTTATCATATCACCGTGGTATCACCTCACGCATCAAAGCACCAGAACCTACATTTGAAGAATACACACTTTTCTGAGTGTTCGATCTTTGTATTAATAATTATAACAAACTAGTGGAGTACTTTTACATAAAAATAATTGAATATCAATTCAATAAAAATTTAAACACACGTTTCTTTACAAAAAATATGCAGGTAATTTATTTACTTCAATACGGCAAGCACGACCGGACGCGACAAAAAGCGCGAGAGAGCGACAAAAAGCGCGAGATAGGGCGCGTTCCCATTATGTCGTCACGTTTTATTATCGGACGACTGTCGTGTCTAGCCTGTTCCCATATCACGACTATCTGTCGTTGACAATTTTTGATCGTTGAACGACTGTCGTGACTAGCTGTTCCCACGACGATTTATCGTTTCACGACAGCCTCCTTGTCGTTTGCACGACAGAATCGTTTGATGCACTGCAGTCGCTTGTATGTTCTTTTGGAAGCCGGTAGTGTGTGTTCGCTCGAAATGGATGACGACGAAATTTTAATAATGTATTACTTTTTAAAAATGCGGAAGAGGGAGCAAACAAAGAAAAGAAAATATAACGTGACGTATAAAATAAAACGTGACGACAATAGTAGCTGCGACAATCTGTCGTCACGTTTTTATCGTGACTTTTTTTATCGTCGGACGACTGTCGTTCTAGCTGTTCCCACTGTGACGACAGTTTGTCGTTGTAACTATAAAAAATTGTGAACGACAGTTAGTCGTGTCGTGCTATATGTGAACAACTTCATTTAAATATACAAGCCACGACACTGTAAACTGCAGGACAATCTGTCGTCACGACATAGTGGGAACGCGCCCATACTGCTATATTTGCATAGAAATGTCGCGTTTTATGTCCCTCTCGCGCAAGTCGCACCTCATTGTGCTAAAGTCGTCACCAAATAAGTGGCCAAATTTGACATCGTGACGCGAATGTGGACTAATCATATCGCTAATCACATTATACGATTTTCACGAGAAATCGATTTAAAATTTTAAGGGTTTGTGATTGTTTAGATTATTTTTCGGTTCATTGTTGTTCAGGGGGCCTAAAAGGCCAAATCGTGCAATTAAAAGCAATGACTCTTATTTTCGTAAAATTGTACCACATTCCGATGAATTGTATCCATTCCATTTCCAATTTCCAATTTTGAATTCATAAACGGTTTATTACAAGAATTTAGTGTAAATAAGTATGTTCATCGATAAAACAACTACATAAAAAGATTAAATTACCAAGAAACCAAGGATTTCATAAATTTTCAATTATTCGGCTGGCAATAAGTTAGAAGTTGCTAAATCAACAACAAACAATCTCAAATAATGTTCACATTTTTTGTAATATTTTTTAAATGTTTTTTCCGAGAAATCGAAGTGACTATGAAATTCGGCGATTAATTGCTTACAACAAAAAAATTACTTGAGAATGTAACTGTTTTCACGTTTCGGGGCAACTCAAAATTGCATTTTATTTTGTAATTCTTGCGAAAGCAGTACTTCAAATATGTTCTGTCATATTATATAATGTTTCAATAAAATTTACGTATTTTTTTAAAACTCAATTATGCTAATAATTGTTTGTTTAATGTATCGTTGATCGCTATTGACCATTGGTAGGTCAATGTTGATCGCAATCAAAGTTACTATATAATATACTATCGCCTTCTTTAACTGTCAAATTTGGCCTCTTATTTTGGTGACGACTATAGCTCTACAGGATCCTAATCCGGATTCATGGCATAGAAAAATTAATAAAATATGACATAAACGTAAATTCTCTTTAATCATAACAATACTTATAGTACACAAAATCAAATGACCCTCTAATTACATATAAGGGTGCATATTATAATAAGTCAATAAATCGTGACTAAATAAGCAAGTCGTTAGGCAGTATACAATTATTAAGATATTTATTTAATATAATATACTTACAACATTTTTCATTTCTCGTATTATATTTCTAATCTAAAATGCTTTTTTATTTTGATGACTTTTCATATTCAGTAAATTGCGGCAAAATAAATTTATATTAAGCGAAATTTATATATTTGCAAGAAGTGGAAGTGATTGAAATGGCCCATTGCTTTTTTGGACACAATTATTAATATTTAACAATATTATGTAGTTATGGTTTTGTGTGTCTTAAATTACGCAATGAAGCAGTGCTATTAAATTATTAGTCGAAATTTAAATACATTTCCACAATACTAATTCGAAATCAATTCACGTCAGCTTTCAAGACTAGGTACAAACAAGAAAAGCTTAATAGTTTACAAAGAATTGAACAAAAAATGGCTGTTAGTTTATTGCCCTTTATTATCTAACTGTTGAACTATTTGATTGGACACAACTTTCGTAGCAACTGAAGCATTTGGAATGAGAAATCGGTCCATATCCTTAATTAATAAATTATCGCCGTCTGGGATCCCATATTTAAAAGTTATTAGTTCTGGGTGCCTCTTTTTCGCGGTTATTTTAACAATAGTAGATAGAGGTCTCCGTGACATCACTTTGGCTGCGCCTCGTTTATTTGGTATATCTCGAAGTACAATCAAATGCGTCTCAGTCACTATCAAGTGAGAATCATGCATGTAGCCATTTAGTAATACCTCTTGGCATTGAAAACTGTCAATAACATTCTGCCCTTTGAGGAATGAATTTATATCTACTATTTCATCCAATAAATCTGAATCTGCACCATCGCGTCGGCTATCGGAGCGTGAATCGTCATCTTCGTCATTAATGCTAAATACTGGAGGTACATTTCGATACCTCTGCTCTTTTCTATCAGTCGCGGACACATGCCACTCGCCATTATGGACTGTTGAATTCGGATTCACAATGTAATCTATTAATTTACCTGTTACTTCCTGACTCTTAGCTTTCATTGCCGAAGACAATTTACTGAACAGTTGTATAGCTGGCACATTTTGTCTTACTTTAGCCTGATGTGTAGATCCGTCATTGTTGTTATTTGGTGCACATACAAGACATGTGGAGGGGTTATGCTCTTCAAGACAATCAGTCATATGGGGTCCAAAATAGTCATGTATTGCTACAAAACCACCATCTAACATTGAAACATGTTTCGTATTTCTTTTCAAAAAAGAGGCAACTACCATATGTGCATAGCTATCCTCCTCAGTTCTACCAGAACCAACAAAACACAAGTGTTCTCCCGCAGCCAAAGATCCCGCAGCTAATGCTTGACGTTGTGCATTGAGGAGCCCTTGGACTGCAGTGTTAAAAGCAGCAGGCTCTTGCAACATTAAATTACAGTCCAAGTGGAAGGCAGTTGACAAATGTCCTGCATTGTACTGCTCAGCAGGTCGACAGTCGACAAGGAAGAATTTTACACTGTCTGCATCTCCAGCATCTATAGTGGCACTCTCAATTAACTCATGCACTGCTACAGGAAGACACAATGCTTGAGAATATACCTTAGAATTAATTTCTAACCCGCTCTCTGAAAATAATACTTCAAGCACATCTTCTCTAAAGGAAACTGGGGTTTTCAATGAATAGTAATGTGCTAGTGAGCAGAAATCTGAAACATCATTGGCCTCGAGATCAGCTGGCATATTGCGAAGTGTTTCTACAATGTTAGCTTTATCTTCACTCTTCATTTGTAGTAACTGTTCTCTGGCATTAATTACCATTATAAGACAAAGGAAGAATATGAAAAACGGATCAGACCTCTGGAAGTACAAATCCCACATAAAGAGAACTACTTCTAAAGTGCAAGTACCAGCAAATAAAGATCTGAGCCAAGGCAAGCTATACTGTTCAGGAGTTATCCTCTTTGTGTCCAAGAATGAACATAATTCAGGGTCATGGTATTGAAGAATAAGCCTCAGTATGTGGAATGGTATACCATTCTTTGTGCACCCTTTTGGAATGTACAGTTTAATGATTTTCTCAAATAAATTGTATGTATCTGCTCTAGGCAACTTCAGACTGAGTAAGGGCAGTAAAATTTCAATCCAACCATTGTTGGATGAATAATTGACTGACTTAGATTTGCAATAGAATGTGATGATAGACTCAATGTCTGAAACCACGGCTAATTTGTCATCATCATCATTCCCTAGTCTTTTGACAAACTTTTTCACATCATCTCGTAATTCATTTTGATTGGTTAAATCAAATATTTCATCAAATAAAAGCAGCTGATTACCATCATCTTGACAGCTCATACAAAGTAACCAAACATCAGGTCTCAGGGTTTCTGGAATCTTCTTGCCTTTTGTCAGCGAGTTAATTTTTTGAGCTGAACACCCATCAAGGAGGGCAGACTCCAATTCAATTAGCCTGAAAAGAATACAATATAAAATGTTTTAAAATTATTCCGAAATCATACATCTAACTGTTTATAAGTATAATTATCAAGAAATGGCATAGGAAAAATAAAAGCAAACAACATCATATAAAAGCAAACAACATCATAGGCCTTTATTTTGATTCTATAAAATGTAAGTCCCTTTTCCACAATTAAAAACTTAACCTACCCATGCAATAAAAGCAGTGTACAAAACGTTATTACAACATATAGTAAACAAAAAAAAGTTCAGTCAAGGAAGGTAAGTTATTTAAAATAAACAAGATTCCAAATATTAGTTCAGTACACCATGACGGCAATTTACTTCTTATTCTTACTTATAACTACTTCGACTTCAGAGATTATAACATTGCTCACCAAGTACTATCGTCTTCCTCACCGGCCATTGATAAGTTTTGTGCTAATTGCTAATCGTAATTACTCTCAGTATGACGACTGATAACGATAAACCAAATTATACACTGCAACCGCGAAAATAATATTATACACTTGCTGATAACGTTGTGCGATGTGTATAAACTGTAGCTGCTGTTGAATTCAAGAATTTACAGGTAAATAGACAAAGAATTTATTTCACAAAACGTAACATCGATTCGCCTTTGGATTGACAATTTTTTTTTTATTAAGCATTGGCTACGAGGCCTTCAGCTTAAAAATGCAACAAAACAAATAAATGACTTAAGTAAACCTAAACACTACAACGTATTAATCAATAACAAAAAAGAAAGTATTTACAAAGGGCCAAAAGTATTGGAATGACAAATAATTGACTTTGGTTTTTAAATCGTATTCCGTACGAGAGAATTACATGAAAGAGAAAATATACTAGTTGCCAAAGTGTAAAAAAAAAATCATGTTTGAAGTCTCACTCGTTTAGTTGAGTAGCGTTATTTCTCTTCAATTAAAACTTACATGACAGTACCTTTTTAAAAAAAAAATGGCAGGGCTAATTACATTTACAGGGGTGATTAATTACATTTTTTACATGAATTAATTATTAGTTTATGTATATTACGTTGTGCGTTTCTTGGTTATTTGCTACCATTAAGCTGATGGCTCTGAAGCCAATGCATTTTAAATAAATAATGTAATGTAATGTAATAATGTATATGTAAAGTAATACAATTTTTTTTGTTTTTTTTTGCAAGTAGAAGATTTTACACAAATTTTATAGTTCAGATTTTATAACGTATTGAATTTCTTAATTATTTGTTACCTGTTTAAGCTAATGGCTCTATAGCCAAATCTTTTTCATTCTCTAAGTTTCTATGTAATACTTGACTTAGGCTCAACTCACACTGGCGCAGAGTCGAAGCGTCGCGTCGCGTCCTGTTTTTCAACTACAACGCTTGGCGACACGCGTAGTCGCGTGACGACACTCACATTAGTGCGCACGGATCACAGTGTGGTCGGCGTCTGACGCCTCACTGCGCTTAATACTTACTTTACTCTTTGGTGACGTGCGTTGACCTGCGAAGCCGCTCGACTGCATCCAAGCGTCGACACGCGTTGACGCCCGTTTCCATATTTGCATAACTCAAATTTGTACCTTAATAATGGGAAAATAGAGATGAATATGCTATAGGCGAAAAACGTGACGTATCGCTACGCCGACGACGCTTCGACTCTGCGCCAGTGTGAGTTGAGCCTTAATCTTTGACACGAACTAATATTTTTGACCTTAAAATAGTTTATTTAATTAATAAGTTTTTAGTTGCCTAATTTTTTAAGCTGATTTTTTAAGCTGACTGGCTCTACAGCCAGTGCTCATTAGATATATAATTTATTATCATTGACCTAAAGGTCAATGTTTAGTATAGTATCTTTCAATGGAAAAAAATGTATGGTACCATTTTTTAAAGTAGGTCTTAGGAATATAGGTATTTAGCCACAGTCATCGCCATATTTTTATTTTTCGTGTAAGTATTTTCTAGCTCTTTGTTATTTAATAAGACCAAGAAGCTTAGTAAGACCCTTAGACTTAAGACCACAGGATTCATATATTTGTTTATTTTTAAGATTTGGATTAAACCTAAAAGTATTGTTTGGATGTCAATGTCACATACCAGTCATACCATGACACTTGACACCACTACCACACGTCATTCATATTTTTCTAATTTGTGCGCATTTTAGGCGAAACACGGGTGAAGGATGGTGGTATATTTCATAGAGTAATTTCCTCTTGTAAATGTTGCTAGACGTGTGCTGTGAGATTTAGTACAAAAATAAGTAATAGTGATTGGCACCACTGGTGGTGTTCACATCAAAAAAATGAAAGACTGGAGCAGTTTATTCCCTAATAAAGAATCCTTCATTGTTTTTACATTGTACATAGTACTGTTTGTCTTTCAGGGTAAGTATTCGTTTCTACATATTACAATTACTTGGTTTTGAAAATACGACACAAGTGGGCAGTTCTTTATGTATACAGTACCTTGTATGTAACATAAATATATACGCTTAAAACAACAGTTACATAAAGTATACCCAAGTAGGTATAAATAAATAAGCTTCAAAGTTTTATCAGGCTATATAATGAATAAAACAACTCTAATATTACTGATAACATGTCTATGAACTTATATACTTTCCAAATCCCATAATTTTGCATGATAAATTAAATAGAAAATTTATAAGTTTTCAAGTGCCAGAATAGATTACACAATCAGAGGTACCTAGCAACTTATTCTGCCCTTAGCTTGATAAGAGTTTATGGACTCTCCTTTAAAATATTTACTGCTCACTTGGTTTTATTTATAAATATATTATACAGAAATGATCATGTAATTACGGCCATAACGGTGTTAAATCCTTCATAGAATTACCTTAAAGCAAGTAATAGTGCTTACAAATTATTCTTGACAACATTCTTATTAATAATATGAATAAAAATGTTGTAAATATAATTATTTAATCTCATTTATTTTGAAGATTCCATGGTTCGCTAGCTAGCTTCTGTCTTTGCTTTTTTATATTTAGATATCACAAATTAATGCTCATAGCTGTGTATATAATTGTTTTTAATTTAGCTCAGACTTGTACACCATTTGAAAATATTAAGTTATAAAAAATATTATTTTACATTATACAAATATTGATAATATTATCAACACATAAGCATATAAAACAACTATTTATCTTAATTTAAATGTAAAACATAGATCTAAATTTAAATCATTGATGAGAATGTAACATTATTGCATGTGTTCCATGTATTGCTAATTAGAAAATTATTTTTTTTTTACGTGCCAATTATATGACCCATGTTAAGAAATTTATGAATTGATTAATAGCAATAAAAAATATTTGTAATGCTAAGAACTGGTTACATAAAAATATTTCTACAATTGGCTAAGCCTATCATGCACAGTACTCCACCAAATCTTTTAATCATTCTGCTATTTAAATCATACAATTAATGGTTGTCCCATTCTTTTGTTCTTCTTCTTTTAAATGTTATGGCCCCCTCGAAATAATCAATGATTATTCTTTTGTTTAGTTTATCTTCATCCCTCGTAGTCCTTGACATGTTAATTATTATAATGTAGGAAAATATTATATTCAGTAAAATTAGTATTATTAAATTTTTACCTATTGTGCTAGTTTAAAATTACTTAAATATACATAGGTATTGTTATAAAATACGTGCCCTGTACCCCACTCATGGTAGGGTCGGGTTCTGCCTACGCACTGTGTTTCGAAATGCCTTCAGATTGGACATTTTGAGTGAAGCTTGCTTAGCAAGGAATACGTGTTAATATTCTAATCTAAACGCAGGACGCACTTTTGGAGAAAACTTAGTTCAAAGTTCTTCGATTTTTATACTGAGAAATTACAAAAGTGATTATAATTCAAAAAATAAAAATACCACTAAATATTTAAAACCACGATTTTAACAGGAATTTCAAGCACTATTCAAGTAACTTTGCCGTTTTTCCAAAATACAACCTTAAGTTACGAAAATCGAGAATTTCCTTAAAACGGTTATATTTTTTTTTTGTTCAGATGCATACTATCCTGACAAAAAAAAGCAGCTGTTAGTGCCGTGAGACATTGGATATATGGGTGTCTAAAGTTTTTTAAATTCAGAACGCCTGAAATTTTGTTGGACGCAAAATTTTTAGAGATAGCATGATAAATTATTATTATTATTTGTTTAAATTAACTATGTTATTATTTTGATCTTTACAGTTCAGTTCTGGCAAAAATAATATCAAAAATCCATATCACTTATGGTGTACCAAGACAGCATCGTGACATCGGTACTAGTTAGTAGTAACATAATGTAATTCTCTACATTTTCGGCTTAAAAATCTTAACAAGGAAGTAATCCTATTATTAACCAAATATAAGTATTCTATAATGCAAGTGGTAAAAAACTGACACAACACCATTTTAAACTACCCCTAAATAGGGGAGAAATAGGATATTAAAGTTTGTATGGGAACGTTTGCTGCGATTAGTTAAGTTAGGGTTTGAAAGTATTGTGAAAAAAGTGTTTGTTTGAAAAATCGTATTCCTTGAACTTACAAAGTTTAAATTCAATATAAATATTCTATAATAATAAATGCGAAAGTAACTCTGTATATGTCTCTCTGACTGTCTGTCTCTCTGTCTGTCAATCACGCTTGCACACCGAAACGGCTAAACCAATCCTGATGATGATTTTGGTATAGAGATATACGGGATCTAGGAGAATGATGTAAGCTACTTTTTGTCACAATAACAAATCTTAGAAGGGGTGAAATAGGCGATGAAAGTTGGTGAGGGAATATTTAACGCGAGGTGCTATTTGCTTAAAACTAGGTTTGGATACTTTAAAACATAATAAATAAACACGTATTTCAGAGTAATATTATTCAAACACATAACAATAATTATATAGCAAACTATCTCTAAAAATTCTGCTTCCAACAAAATTTCAGGCGTTCTGAATTTAAAAAACTTTAGACACCCATATCTCCAATGTCTTACGGCATTGACATCAGCTTGTTTTTGGGAGAATAGTATGCATGGTTAACTATTTATTTTAATACTTTCTGGGTGCTACTGACGGGAAATAACAAAGAAAAAAAAAATAACCGTTTTAAGGAAATTCTCGATTTTAGTAATTTACTTTGGGTTGTATTTTGGAAAAGCGGCAAAGTTACTGGAATAGTGCTTGAAATTCCTGTTAAAATCGTGTTTTTAAATATTTAGTAGTATTTTTATTTTTTGAGTTATAATCATTTTTGTAATTTTTAAGTATAAAAATCGAAGAACTTTGAGCTAAGTTTTCTCCAAAACTATACAAAATTGGCACACGGGAGTTTTCGTCCTACGTTTAGAATATTAACATATATTCCTTGCTAAGCTTCACTCAAAATATCCGATCTGAAGGCATTTCGAAACAGTGCTGCGCCGCGTGGTCGAGTTCAAGTTACGGGGAGTGCTTATGCTTTTTGGTGGCACAGCAGTTAGTACTATGGGCGCTTGAGGAGGTTCCGAGTTCGATTCATGTTTAGGCCAATTTAGAAATCGACAAGTCTAGTTTCTAAGTTGTTTCTGGTCTGGGTATTCTGGGTATTGCCTTCAGATTTATCGTTATTCAGGTATTCATGGTAGGTACAGGAAATTCCCTAATTTGTGACCAGAAATTTGAAGTGTTTGTCTGGCATTGTTTTTCCCGAAATACTTCTCTTTAGCGTAGCTTCCAAGAAAAAGTAACAGGAATGTAACAGAGAGACGGTCGAGATACAACAACGCTCTAAGTATGTAATTTCCATTACTTCGGTAAGGTACCTATGCCTTACATTTTGAACAATTGCGGGATGTTGAATTCGTAATGGAGCCTCCGTATAGTACTTATGTACGGTGGCGTGCGGACCTTTCGAGCTTCGCCCACCGCTGGACCTCGGCCTTCTGCCTCGACACGTATGATTTTCTTTAAAAAATTTAAAAAAGCTAGAAAAAAAACTTTTGATCCCAAATTATGATTGAGGACTCCTAAAGAGCATGCCAATTTTCAGTCGGATCGAAGCAAGTTTTTCTTCAGCCGCCATCTTGATTGTTTTTTGACACAACGTACATTTACTTTAACATTATTTAACCTCATGCTGCTTAATATGGCATGACTATTAGGTAGGTACTTTTAAATTGACCATGATTTCAATCAGTAACATGAATTAGAACATTTATAACATACATAATACATTAAAACAGAACATGTACTTGGATTGAGTTTCACAATTCTGGTGTCGACCAGAGCATATTAGATATTTTTTAAAGTTTTTGCTATATATCAGTACCACTCTTGCCCAGGTGCACTCATACAACACACAAACCATTCGCACTTGTTGCTATCAGCGTCATTTCACTGCTAAGGAAAGAATTTATTCACTCCTAGTAGTGAAAGATAAGAACATTCATGTTTTTCCTTATTATGTTTGTACATATGTAGTCGGTGTCCGCTAAGGCAGAGTCCAATTTTTGTTATGATGCCTTATTATTGGATTATGTATTTTGTTTATTTTGCTTAAAGAGTTTCAATAAAGAGGCGTTTATCACCTGGAACATATATTACGGTTACCGGTAAATAACAGCAGTGATTATGAAAATAAGAAGGCCATTTGATAATATAATATTGAAGGGCAAGGAACAATGGGATTATGATGAGTTTTAACTTTATTTTATAAAACACCGTACTTAAAATAATACATAACATTTTTCTATGAATTTAGTTTATAAAACTATAATAACTAACATACAATTAGCTGAAAGTTATTGAAAAAAAGAAGCTAATGAATAGCTCCTTTTTTTCAATACGGCGGAATATGAATAATCAGCGCCTAAACGATTTCTTTATATTCACATTTTCAATATCTAAATATTAAAACCATTAATGGTCAAGCAAACTGTATATAAACAAGGATTAGCTGATAGAGAAAAACTGATTTCATATTTAGATACGACGCCCCAATAACAGTAAGAAACATTCAGAAATCTTAAGCAGGATAATATTTTTTTCCTATGTAGTCCTGTATAACACAGGTTACTGTATTCGTGTATATAGGTTATGATATGATTATCGAAAAAAAATCCTAATTAATTTCATTTAGCGAGCCGTGGTTCTTTGACAGTAGGATCTCACGCGGAGATTTTATGCGCCTCATTCTCCACGGGAAATCTCTGCGTGACATTATCTAATAATAATAAAAAAAACATTTAAATGTGTATCAAAATATTTTTTGTTTGGCAACCGAAAAACTTGCTTAGCTCGCAATTTCGCTTAGTCTATGTATGAAAGTTCGTTTTATAAAACTCAATCGGATACTCTTTTGTTGCACTTAAGAAGCCAGTCTTCCAAGGCCGTACAAGCGCGTAATTTTAAACACATAGCATTAGTATTTCATAATTATTGTTCCTTCTTTATCGCTTTAACGCCAACACTACCACCACGTTTGTATAATATCGTTTACAAACGTTTGAAAACTTTTCAGCTCTTAATTTTTATATTTCGTGGTTTGAGCCTCGTTTAAATAATATAGTATATACATGTGTAGATTAAACTTGTTGATATAAACAATACTTATTTTTCGGAAATGTAATCTTGGAAAAATTGCATAAAAAGAAGTCGGTAAAATTTTCGAGCCTGTGTAATTTTCAAATGTATTACTTAACTGGAATTCAACACATCAAGACCTTAGAAATAATTTCGTAGATCGTGTCTACGTATCTTTAAAAATGGGACTTCATTCGTATGGAGCATGCTCGCAAAAGTACCTATGCTTCTAAAGAAGTTCGATGTGCATTTGATAAGGCCACCATTTGTTATGGATAATTATTATTTTATTGCATTTATTGCCTATTAATTGGCTACAGAGCGTGGTACGCACAGGGTAAACTATAAGTACGTAGAATATTATATTGAAACCACGTATTGTCATTTTTTGCATTTTATAAACGAGAACGTAATACTACCATATTATTTATTAAAGCTTGATAACTCACATACACGTGGAAAAGCCATTCTATCATAACTTGCTTAAATACATAAATAAATAATAATTGGTTAGGGCCCCTGCAAACTTCCTACACACTTTCTAGCCGCCGCACAGTGGGCCCAAATTGATAATTCTTGGACATAAGAATAACTTGTGGAGTATGGAGCAAATTTTTTTTATGTGATAGAGAGTAACATTCATAACAACTTTTATTCTTGTATAATTTCTTGAAAAGTTGGTTTCGGAGAAAAAAACAATTATTATTTTTTTGTATGGAGGAATATACATTTTATTTTTTATCTCAAAATATACGAAAATGTAATGTGGGTGGGTTACTTGCAGTATAGTTCCAATCATTTTCTATGTAGAAAAAAATAATCCGTCTGCACGTACTTGCGGCCTTGTAAGTAAAGGTGCGACAAAATTGCCTACTTTTTATGTACTTTTTTAACAAAATACACGAGCTTCGACTAAATAAAAATTAATTTTAGTGTAATTTAGAGAGTGTTATAAACATAACACGAAAATTAAGTAGAAGTAGTATATTGTGTTAAAAAATAAATAACAAATCTAAAACTTTTTACTTATAAAGCCGCAAGCGCCTGCAGATGGATTTTTTTTTCTTGATAGAAACTGATTGGACCTATATAAACCACACACATTACATTTTTGTACATTTCAAGATAAAAAAATAAATGTTTATTTAGGAAACACGCTTGACCATGACCATGGGACCTGTAAAGGGCCCGAAACGTCGGTTTGTTTGAAAAAACAAATATACGCGATTTAAATCCGGAAAAATAGTTTCATTTCCTATGTGTGACAATCGTGAAAACCTAAGAACTCGATAAATGTTTATTTCTCCAAACAAAAAATAACTAAAAATGTTTTTCTTTATAACAATCAGCTTTTCAAGAAATTACATTAGAATAAAAGTTATCAGAAATATTATTACGTATCATGTGAAAAAAATCAGCTCTGTATTCCTAAAGTTGTTCCCATGAGTAAATAATAATTTAGCCTAAAGTTTATACTTTTTTTTTCCGGCATTTTTTAAATCAGCTGTTGGGTTAGGTACAAAATTAGCTCGATACTCCACAAGTTATTCCTATGTCCAAGAATTATCAATTTGGGCCCACTCTACGCCGCGCCCGCTGATAGTTAAATCCGGTTGGGTTGCTAGCACACACAGTGAGCCCACCAAACAGTATTGTTGGTGGTGAGAGCCGCAGATCAGCAAAGAGTCGTCCGATTGCTCCCGAAAATTTTTGTTGGTTAGTAGCTGCTCTTGAATTGCGTAATGAAACTTAATTTATCCAGAAATATTATTATTGCTTTTTTTATACAACGAATGAAAAAGAACGAGAAGAGAAACCGATTGGGCGCATCGGCAAATTAAACAGTCAACAAAAACGCGCGCGTGGAAGACAAGCAGTGGCTGATAGTTCACTGACAGATTAGTTTGAAGGCAATCGATGAGCTCATCAAACTTATTTATCGGCCGATACCGAATCTTACACTGATTAAGTACCCAACTGAACTATCGGCCTATAAAGGTCTACAGTTTGCGGGGGCTCCTATAATCTATCCACTTTAGTCATCATTTGCTTGTTTTAAATTCATTCCTAGATTGCATATTTTGTATTGAAGTCTCTGAAATCAAAGCGTGCAATCAAAGTAAGCAAATCATATTTAAGCGCAATTAATTAAAACTAGAGACTGGCAGAATGTCTGACTTGATGGTGAACAAAAGTTTAGTTATTTCGTATCTTCTCTGCAGGCGTATTTGTAACTGCTTCAAAGGCAGACAATGGTGGATATGACTATAACACGACTCTCGTTGTGTTCTTATCAGAACTACTCAAGCTCATTGTGTCTGCGACGTTATACTCTTACAGGAGGCAGTAAGTACTTTTACACTTCAATACGGGAATTACTTCGTATTGTATTAAATTTCATTCTTTCATTAATCATTACTTATAATTTATAGTAAAATTGTAACATATCTGTTTAACGCGATGATCTGGCAAAATTGTCAAAGTACGGTGGTTCGGACCCTACGATTTGAACTACGACAGTACATAAAATTTTCTTAAAAAACGCTATGTTGTACGAAAGCTATATTTGGACAACACACACACAACTAGGTATCATTCTATGAGACGTTTCCTATAAAATTGATTTTAACGTAGTGTGCAAAATACTTTGGCAAGAATTAAGGAATTTGTATTTTGATTAAATTGTCATATTTCAGTAGAGTACCGTCGAAGCAAAACAGAATTAATTCGAAAACAAGAGCCAATAAAGTAAATACCTTGTGAGTACCTTACTACTCCAAATGAATATTGTATACACCTAATAGCTAGTTGGAGGGTAAATCCAATGCCAGAGCTATTTACTTTACTCCCTACTCTCCCATGCACCTCGCCTTCCATTTGACTCCCCTTTCCTCCACGCACTGCACACTAATTAAGTTACACTAGGTTATGGAAAGAACCTCAGTCAGACTATTTTTCCTTGATACTGCGGCAAGTTCGTACTTACTTCTAGTTACTAAGGTTAGACAGTGTATCCTAATGTTAAATCCTGGGTTAATCTTACTTCGCTTTATCTTTATTCGGCTTTATGTGGCTCTCCGTGGTTAACGTTTTAAGTTTTAACCAACAGTTAACGTACCTATATTACAACGCGAACAAAATGCACGAAACAGCAGATGCCAATGGACTCTAGCAATGGAAACCTCTAAATGTTTTAGAGTAGAACTCACAATTCATAATGTACTTTGCCCTATTACATAGTTCTTAGAGACTAAAAGGTCACCGTTTCTTTAGTGAATTTAAAACACTGTAAGTTGGTAATTTTTAGGTTAGTTTTCTCTGCATAATCTATGGCAACTTTTGTTATCTAAATATTGTAGAATATTATCATGAAGTATTACTTAATGTTCGAGTGTAGTATACTGAAATATTTAATATTTCACGATAAGATACTCGAACTCTTAAATACTAAAAATTGCCGATTGCAATTAAATAGAGAAAACTAAGCTGAAAATTAACCAAATACCACTGTACGTTTGAAATTATTATCACAGTAGAAAACAAGATATATTGAGGATATTAAACGAACCACTATTGTAAAACGTAAGAGTTTGAAATTCATAATTTCTATGACTTCCAAACAAACGTAATTATAAAATTTAAATTAATAACAAAAGCAACCTGTTGACGACCTCGGTGGTCGAGTGGCTTGCACACCGGTTTTCATGTTGTCGCCATCTCTGAGATCCCGGGTTCGATCCCCGGCCGGGTCAGCGTACATACTAACTTTTCTATATTATCGGGTCTGGGTGTTTGTGGTATCGTCGTTGTTTCCAATTTCCATCACACAAGTGCTTTAGCTACTTACATTGGAGTTAGAACAACGTATGGGATGTTGTCTAATATTTATTTATTTATTATTATTTAATGTAGCAAACATTTCATTAAGTTTTGAAGAAGAATTATTTAGAGATTTTTATATAATTTTTCTCAGTGTTGAACTCTAGTCGCTGTTCGTATTTCAACCTTAATTTACGTGATTGATATTTATTTATGACATGAACTTTTTATTACAGGCAAAAACCGCATCTGTTCAAAGCGCTAGTCAAAAATTACCAGCTACTGCTACTATACTTCATCCCGTCGCTACTATACTGTTTCTACAACAACTTGGCGTTCATCAACTTGTCGCACTACGACCCAACGTCATACTACATTTTATTGCAATTCCGGGTAGTACTCACTGCGCTAATATTCCAGGTACATATTCATTACAAATGTTAACATTGTATTATGTAAGTAAAACCGATAAGATTGCCATAAACCTCACCGTTGAATCGTGGATGTTTAAAATGTGGCATCTTAGTTAAACTCTTAGCATAAAGTCATAATATATGTACATACATACTCAAACTTAAGTAACAATCCCATTATAATACTCCATTTCTATCTGTCCCTATATTGAACACGGGATTCCTCTACGAAATGAATGAAAAAAATTATATTTCTTTTTTAATATATTGAGTGACGGGACGAACAATTCGTGCGCCTGATGGTAAGCTGCACGCCTGTCCATAACAGTTACATACTTTTAGTAGCCGTAGAGCTCCGTGTGAAAGATAATTTTTGGGCCTTTAATTTGTTGCAAACAACATTAAGCAATACTGCAATGACTTTACGATTTAAATTAAATGTTTTAGTTATTTTTTATATTTCTATGCATGTCACTACGTTTGTATAGGTTAACTCCGGCCATCCTTGTCATTTTCTCCAACGCTGACCGGGAAAAGCCGGAAAAACTCCGGACATTTTTTCGCGGTTTTTGGATTAGACTTTGGATTGTATTTATTGTCATCCATTTGTAAGTCAATGGGCAATCTCCTCTGGCAAATACAAGTAAAACAATACCACTGTTACACTACTCATAAAATTGCATAAAGATACGTGATTAACCAGTACGTAATATACATGTCGATATCGTCACGTCGATAACTTTCCGTCTAGTATATTCATGAAAATCGATTTATGTTTATAGGCCTATTCTGTGTACGGACATGACATGAATGTGTGTTTTATCTGTGTATTTGTAAAAATAAGCTAGTGTTGTCGATTTTTGTTTGTATGAGGCCATAGTGACACAACTCAATATTGCACTTGACACTAATAGCGCCTCACGTCCTATATGCTCTAAGACTAAAACAGTATTGTTACTTAAAACAATGTCAAAATGAGAAGTAATCGTACATAATTATTTAATAAAAATTAATTCCAATGAATTTTATTATAAAAAACACATTCATGTTTTAGGATAAATACTCAGTAACAACGGATATTTATCCTTTGACGGATATTTATCGGGTAAAAACCCCATCTCTAGTCACGTGCCCATAAGCTGTACCTATTGTAAAGTTTTTGTTTCACTATAGTTTTAAACCTCGTACATGCCAAATTTTGAATATCAACCGGAATCTTAATATACTTTCTTAAACGTGTGGGTATTCTCAGGCATTTTCCTCCCCATTTCATTTGATATAACAACACAGAAACGCGTGCCCATGTGGAGAACGTACTCTCAACATTTTAATAAATAAAATAAGCAAGGTTTATAATTTTTCAACATGTTATTTTCCGTTCGCAACGCAACATGAACAGTCATATAACACAAATATTTCCTGGCTCGCTTCAATTACGTTACTTGTTATTGGTGATAGCCAACCAATTAAACCATGCAATTTCGTTGTGCTATTGAATTTTCGGCTATTAACTGCAGTACACGTAACAATCCTTTTAGTTACACTAATCACATATTGACAAATGTTACAAATAAACATGTACACGATTTTCTTTTAAAACAGTTAACTGTAAAATAAACTCTCTAATTAACTAGCTAATTACCTTAATGTAAGGTGAAATTTGGGACTCATAAATAGTACAAACATTTGTTTTTATAAGTTTGTTCAGTACTGTATTATGTCGCAGCCGAATTATACAACACTTTTGATTTTTATAACGCCTAGCCGCTTTACAAAATAGAGCTATCGCTTTTTAATAGCTGCTCGTGTATTCTAATGCTTCTGATCAATGCATCATCGATTTATTATTTAGACTGTTATCAGACAACTGCAAGCGCGCAGTCAGTCGATATTTTTACAAATTACTGCCGAAACTGAGTACACAAAGTAGCCGCACCGCGCCTAGCGCAGGAGCTCATTGTAAAAGTTAATGCTGAAATGGGGGCACAGATGATGTTATTACTTCTCTTATTATGGTTACGGCACCGGGGGTGTAATCGAAGCCAAAAACGACAACCAAAAACGTGTAGTATAGGTAGATCCAAGCCATGCGTCGACATCACACGACTGCATGCAGTTGAAGTCCCGTCTGTAAGCAGTTGAAAGTGTTAACAGTCTGTCTGATAGCAGCGTTAGGCGACCAGTTATGTTCGTTTTAGTTCCATACATTACCATTAGTAGCACTGCGCTGTAACAAAAATATGTTAACATTTGTGATCAACTGGGTGTATCAATGTAAACCTCAAATAAAGAAAGATGGCGAAAGCTGCCCCAATAACGACGAAGAGCAGTTCATGGACTTTGCTAGTATAATTTTGCGTTTTAGTTTATCAATATATTTTTATATATTTTTAGAAGTCGGGTGTAAAGAAATTGTAAAACATTGTATTTTAGAATAGATGCAAGAACACAACGCAATTGATTCAGTACGACCATAGCTTAGGTAACGTTTTTGTACGTACGTTTCGTTTTAAACATGGTTGAATGTTTACCTACCTGAAGTATTGGTTATGTTATAGTACACACATAAAACATTAAAGCTATAAAATACCTAATTAAATAATCAATTAAACAGTAATGACATAAAGCAAAAAATAAAACAATGTGACAAAAATATTTAGACAATATTTAAATGAGAGATAACGAAAGTTGCAAAGGAACGTTTTGACAAGAGACCTCTTGCCAATGTCAATGTCACATTGATATTGAGAACAGTGAACCATTTGTGGCAGAGTTCTACCATTTGGGCATATTTAATTTTTATTCATTTTCATTGCTGCAGAACATACGTTATATTAAATATGGCAGATTTGGGAATATTCGGGAAGTACTTTATTATTTTTGGGAATAAACTGAAAAACTTGTTGTTTTCTGCTACTACGAACTTACATCTGAAGCGAAATACAAGACAATGTTATAAACATAACCTATATCAACTTTATAACCCTAGCTTCTACAGGCTGTACTCAATTCGCTTTTTTGATGCTTTCATAATGAATCACAAGTATTGACAGGTCTCCATAATGCACGTCGTCAAAAACACTGGGTCACAAAATACACGGGATGTCGCCATCTTTCTTTGACTTACCAGTCATTATTATTTCATAAATAAATATTAATAATGTATAATAGTGTGTCCGATTACCACACCAATTACCTAGTCTCAAGTTGGAAAACTGTACTACGACTACCAGAGGAACGAACTTAACTTCAGGGCACTGCCCAGAACACCCAGACAAGCACCAATTTAGAAAATGTCGGGTTCCAAACTGAACCTACTGAGAGTTGAACGCATGCCTATCTCATTTAACTCTTACATTTCAAAAGGCTGGGTTACATTTATTACATAGTTATCTAAGCGTTTTTCATTTCTAACCACGGTCACCCAAAAATTTTATCGGATACGTCTAATCCCTGTAATATCTGTCTTAACGCAAGCTACCGTTTTGTTGAAAATTTCGCAAAGATATTCCGGCAAAGTCAGTGTAACCGCTTTACAAAACAATGCTCTTTTGTAGTGCACCTATTCGTTTTGTGATGGAACTAAGTAGTAGTTAGTGTTATTGTGTAGTTAGTAACTACACAATTTGGCTGCGATATATACAGAGTGATATAAAAACCACTGGCCATTTTTAAGGAGCATACTGTATAATGGTAATAAAAAACACGTATTCAGTTTTGTTTTTTTTTCAAACACTTAACAAATAAATAAGTTATGACGTCTCAAAGCTTTCCGAAAAATTGTGTACAATATTGACGTTCTTGTTGCTATAGCAAATAGGGGGCAGTAGGCGGAGTCAGCGCGGGAGTTCATGTATTTACAAAGTATTAAACTAACGCGCGATGCGTTAGCGCAGGTCTGTCGTCGCGCGGCGCAACGTGCAGGCGCCTAGGCGTCTAGACAATTCGACGCTGATCGCTCAATTTTATTTACTATTTTGAGTAAATAAAACAAAAAATCCCCATTTTTTGATGTTAATATTTCCCAGTAATTTCTAACGCGTTTCTCTGTGCGTTTGTTGCAGATCTTTTACCTTTTGTTTTGGTTTTTTAACGACTTTTTTGCCGTAGCGCCACCTGTCAGAAATCTTTTTTAGTAAATTATTATTTCATTCAAAATAAGTTATTATTCCATACAAGACAATGAATGAACTGCATATTTATATTTATCACATTAAATTTCTTTTTTTTCCAGTGTTTGTTCAAGAAGAACCTTTCACTTTTCCAATGGATATCACTGGGCATTCTCACGATTGGTTGCATCATAAAGAACTTCGACACCGCGAATATATCGCACAGCTCGGATATCTGGTCACAAATATTCAACTTTTACTTCTTATCAATTAATTTTCAAAACTTCTGTTCTTGTCTAGCGGGCACATATAACGAATATTTACTCAAAACAAAAGGCTCAAACGTAGACATATTCCTGCATAACGTGTTCATGTATTTAGATTCAGTGCTATGCAACTTCTTTATTCTACTTTGCAAAGGGGAAGTGCAAAATATGTTGCAGGATTTTCAATCACTTGGCGACATTTTTGTTTTACTTATTACAATAAATAGTGCTGTAGTTGGCATAGTTACGAGCTTCTTTTTAAAGAATTTAAATTCAATTTTAAAAACTTACGCCAGCGCGTTAGAACTAGTGATAACAGCTGTAGCGTGTTACATTATATTTCATATCGCCATTACGTGGTACACAGTAGTATCTATTTGCCTAGTGAGTATCGCAGTAGCCATGTATTTTAAAAGTCCAGTAAATAACGCAAATTCTAATGGTACTGTAGATAAAGACAAGAAACCGCTTTTAGAAATAGTAACCGAGGATTAGTTTGAATTATTTATTGTAGGATATAAAATGTTCCGTTCTACCAATTTTGGTTCAGAACACTAAAGCAAAAACCTCGTTTAAAACATCGTTTGTTTATACAGAGTGCTTTATACTATTCTGGTACAATTTTGTATGGTTCTACACGTTTCGAATGTTAACGCATGAAGGGTTATAAACAATACTCGGAACATCAGTCGCGTGTTTGAAATGAGTAGATAAATGTTCAAATTTTCGAATTCCGGATTTCCGGAAATAGCTTTACTGCATAGTAAGATAAAATTCCTCACTTAGAAAGGGGAAGTTGTATTTAAAAGTAATACTGGGAGCACTATGTAAAGAAATGTAGTAGTTAATTAACCTTTCACCAAAATAAAGTTTTTTTAGCTACAAACAAAAGCTTACTTTAAACTAATGCTAATATTATTTATTATTATTATTATTATATATAGTTATTATTATTTACATATATTATGTATATATATATATATACATAATATATACATAATATATGTATGTTAATAATACATATATTATGTATAATATATCATAATATAATATATATGTATATATATATATATATATACATACATATATGTTATATATGTATATATATTATGTATATACGAATTTAATTAAATTTTATTAATTTAAAAGTTATGAATTTAAACAACTTATTAATTAATATTTGGTAGTTTTAACCACACTGTGTCACTCTGTGTATCTATATATATCTATACGTATACATTTATCTACTCATTTGGCACGTCCTATTTCGACCATTGGTTATAAATGAAGTTCGGTGATAGATGAATTAATTTTTGTATTAACTTGCAATGTAACATAGAAACGTTACATTTGCCATATTGTCATATTACCCCAGTATTATAAAGTAATATAATTAATAGTCACTTTTTGGTTAGTTCACTGTTTTCGCGTATTGAGTACATCTTGTCTTTCATAACCGATGTCATTCCCAAAAATTAAAAAATAAATAACACTAAAGTTATTTTCGATAAAAATGAGGTGATTTAGAATAACTTACAGGTTTATTTAGACTGGTGCTGATTCTTATGATATGACTGATTGATTGTACCTACGTAAAAGTAAGTAAATGCCTAATTAATAGAGAATTTGTAGCCTTATGGCTACTGATACAGTGTTCGGTGTCGCTAAAGTTTGACTTAATATGTTATTTGAAAAACCGCTTATCCTTCTGCTCTTTTGCAGTAGGTGCTGGCACAAATATGGCAGTGTTCTACTGCTTGACCCGGAGTGTCAATAGCGGACAGGACCTAGTATGTATATGTATTTACACATTGATTTTACGGTCAGTATTTTTTTACTTAGTAAAATTTGGCTATACTGTAACCACGCTGTGGTTATATTCTATCGTGTCATACTACGCAGAACAGAGTGGGTGATATCGATAGTCGAAATACAAATGCTTACGGATGCGGCTATCTTCGCTTAGAATCTCAATTAACAGGAAGTAACGAATGGGGCAACACTAAATTTATAATCATAAGTAGGAAATTTGTTTGCAGTGGGGTGCAGCCCAATACACTACAACACAGCAAAATCTTCATAATCTAATACAAAAGTCAATTGTTAGCAAAACACCAAACATTGGGGTAACGCGGTATTACCCATCAAACTTGTCTGATAATATCGCGTCCAAGTCTGATAAAATCGTGTTATGAATTTCACGGAATTCATATGCATAATGTATATATAAATGCAAAATTAAATAAAAATAACTGTTTTGATTTTTTTAAGTTGGCATATACTCGTCTGCCCGATAGTAGCATATCTCTTAAATAAGCAGAAAATTCGCCTGTGTTAATAAACGCTATTATTTTGTAATCTCTTATTCTAAAAGATAATCTACTACTAAAACGTTAACAATATATGTATGTATAATCATTTCATGCAATAATAGATGCAGTTTGCCTTCTTGTACCTTATTTTTTAATTAACTGGCAAACTTGGTAACTCTTTGAATGAAAGTCTAAATGCTAAATTATTAAAAAATTCAAAGTCTAATCAGTCTGATGTAATGGCTTTAATCGCCATAAAAATAAATAATAATTATTTACGTACATACCAAACTAAATCGACATTAAAATTTAGCATTATTTTTTGTCAATCTCCATTGTTATGAACTTAATAGATTAAAGCAATGATCTTATATAGGGTAGGTTGGTGTAAGATGGCGCACTTTTAAAACTACTAGCCATAAAAAAATTAAAAGGAACAGTATCACAATCTTTTGAGCTTTGACTAATTGATAATAAAAACGTAATTATAAAAATATCTCAACTTATATGATTAGGTGAATGTAAACCAAAAATTAAAAAATAAGAATTGCGCACTTTTACACAACCCTGCGGGTAAGATGGCGCAGCAAAGTTGATAAGGTGGTGCAACTTATACATTGTCATTTATATATCAATTATTGAAAGCATATGACACATTTAAATACAACCAAATCTAAGATATCCTGTGCACTTCACGTGGCACCATTCCAGACAAACAGAGCATTCAGTCTAGTGTTCTCCGATAAATTCCTTGTATATTTCTTAACACCCAGCACATGTCCAAACCGTCTTTGTTTTACTTATCTTATCGTTTTTTTAGGTATTTTGAGTGTTGGTTACATTTTTTGCAAAAGCTTTCTCAACGTGGATTCTGGCATTCCTAAAGATTTTGTCACAGATATTTTACTATTTCCTTGGTCGAGGAAGGTGTCCATGATTGATTATCACTCTTCTTTTCACGCCTTTACATTCTGCAATTGAATAAAATAAAATCTCCAAAAAGTAAAGAAATTCATATACTAACACCATCTCTTATAAAAATTCGGATTTTTTCGTTTTTAAGCCAATGTGAAAGACTTTTTTGATCAATAATCAAGACGAAACACTGAATATCTGGAAATATTTTGAATGCCAATAATTTGATATTACGATAAAATTAGGTCAAAAGTAGTTAAAATCTTTGAACTTACCTGCAATCAGCGTTTTGTATCCAAATTGAATATTTTTTTGCGAAAACTTATTGGCATCAAAACTCATCAAACTACGACTGATATTAGACGCGAACCTCATTCCAGAATCAGTCAATCACTAATGCGCCAACTTATTGCCCGCGCCATCTTACACCAACCTACCCTACAGTTAAACATATTAAATTATTTGTCTTTTTTGTTAAGTATTGTTATTTTAGTTCAATAATGTAAAAGTTAGGAATTCAATTTCAGGTATATCTGTATTGTGTACACTTGTACAGGACATTACATGTAAAACCATACTACCCTTCTAGTCATAATTAACGCATTTGCAATTCGGTAACTTTGGATATACATTTTGGCAACTAAAATTTTATTGCCTAAAAAGATATCAATTATGCTCATTTTGCTTAACAATGAAACTGAAACTAAATAAGATATTAAGAAACCTTAGATTGTCATGTATTAATAACTCTCAATTTAGCTAAAAATGGCGATTACGTCAGCTATGATAAGAAGGCCAGCATAGTTGCTTAAAGCTCCCATTAGCCACACTTCATTTGAAGACTGTTGTTTTGTAATATGTTTTTATTGTTATTAGGCTTGCGACCTCAATGTAACCGACTGTAGCAAACTGTTGGCTGTGGCTTTTTTGTCGTTATGTAAATATTCATCGAAGGTCATGTTTTATTTCTAAAATTACATCACATTACATTGAAAGTAGGTACATATGGATATTTTCCTGCATATTCCTTTGTTATTCTTTTATGTACTCGCATAAATTAAATACTCGTAAATAAAACAAAAATAATTTACTCGACGAGTTCCATTTATGTGACAATTTATGAGCTTTTTTATTTCACTGTGTATTATCGCGTATAATTTTGTATCTCTGTTGAGCAAGATACTCAGAGGGGTATTTATACTTGTGTACTTAAATGTAATAGACTAGGAATATAAATAGACTAGGAATTTCTCTCTTATTACTCATGGCTAATATAAATGGTGTCAGTCCCATATCCTTCTACATAAGTTTTGTTTATAGTGCCCCTCCCTGTCAACCTCTTGGTTATGCGGGAAGGGTACTGTGACCTGTGCGCGCACAGGAACCTTACAAGTTCAGGTTCTGACCCCCAGATCAACCAGTATTAGTGTCGTATTCCAGAACTCTACTCAATTTTCAAGTCAGGATCTGAGTATGATTTCAAGCACTGGAAATACGACCCTAATAGCAGGGACTTGAATATGATTTTCAGTGCTTTAAATCATAATCAAGTCCTGACTTGAGCATTGAGTAGAGTTCTGGAATACGACCCTTAGAGTCGTATTCTAGAACTCTACTCAACGCTCAAGTTAGGATTGCAATGGAAACACAACCACTGGAAATACGACTCTAATGGCAGGGACTTGAGTATGATTTCGAGTGCTTTAAACCATACTCAAATCCTAACTTGAGAATTGAGTAGAGTTCTAGAATACGACCCTTAGACAACCCTGTATTGTCTATAAAGGGTGACAATGAAATTACTATAATTATTTAGATGTAACTGTGTTATAGGGAAAACATCCTCTGACGTGCCCGTGAAACGATCATACAGTTTGTGCCGAATAGGAGTAGAGCCCCTTGTGAAAGAGTTCATCGAGGAAAGTATAGCCTTTATACATTTTCTGCTGCCAAGAAGTAATGTGTGCATTACAGCGTCCTAATTTGAAGGGTAAACGTACTGATGAAACTGCGGGCGCATGGGATTTGTCAACTTTTTGTACCAGGGTGCAATGGCAGTGTCAGTGCCTACTACATTTTTGCGATTTAAAGCTCTGAATGGCACAGCATTGTTACGGGTAAGCATACGATTGAACATTTGTATCGTCTACCATGTTGTTTCAGACTTCAAAAAAGGAGGAAGAATTCGACTGTATTTTTGCGTGTACATTACGCGATTACTTCGGGATTTGTGAACCGATTACGATGATTTTTTATTTTAAGAAAGAGGGAGTTACCCTCTAGTAATCACATTCAAATTTGATAATATTCCCCGAAGCATGGCAAATTAGGAAATGAATCCTGTTTATTGGAAAACTTGGCAAATAGATGTAATTTCACAAATTTCAAAAGTTTGAAGTTATGGTGGCTTTTTTTTTAAGAAGAATGGTTGGTTATTAGAATCGGCTGGCTGTGGACCTGACCAATTTATGTTTGAATCAGGTCTGACATATATAGATGGAATGGATGGAAGTGTATATCGATACTTTAGAGAAGAAAAGGCGTAAAGTACACATTTTACGAAATGAGTGACAAACAATTTTTTTTTTAAGTTTTCGTTCATATCCTTTTCAATTTTTAATTATGTGTG